TCTAGTAATCATGAGTGACTTTGTCAATGAGAGGCCCTAATCTCATTTTTCGTGTTTTTTTCATGCTTGGATTAACTACTTTAAGGTTCGTAGAGAACTTGGTTCCTCGTAAATGAATTCTACCTGAACCAAACCATGAGTGACAGAAATAAAATGCTTTATACCAGATTACCCAAACACCATCAATGAAACATAACTCACAATGTCTCATAACTCTGACAGCGGTATCCATGGCTCATTTTCTCTACAATACAGTAAAGACACACTAGGCATCCAAGGCATCATCCATTCAATTTCATCACCGGTAAGCCTTCGCAAGAAAAAGACCCACTCTTTTTTAGTCTTCAATGTTGGCCATTGGTTTTTGTAAAACTCTTCAATTAGTGCTTTGTTTCGTAGATACGACTTTGAAAATGCACTCTTTTCGTATTTGAAATGACTTATAACCCACACATATAACAGCGGTGCATATCTTATAAATCGTCCCTTTCTATTTCATTAACAAAAATTCAATGATCGAATAGTTTCTACTAGAACTGCTGGTGCAAGATTAATTGCTTGGGTTTTAATTTGTTCAAAAAAGTCTACCATAATTATCTTAATGTAACCCAAAGTCTTCAGAAAGATCACTATGCCATATAATGATAGAGCAAACACAACCATGCCTTGATAATCATTTAAATGCTCTTGAATGAAGTTTTAAAGAAAGTCCCAACGAATGCCGAGATGTTCACCTTTAGGCTTCGTGAAAAAATCAATGGTTTTCATTTTAACCCCCATAAGCTTGGTCAACTTTTTACGATAACCTGATTTTAACTTTCGAATAAATACTTTATCTGGATATTGTAGTTTTATCTTAAAAAAATAGAATATTCTTCGATAGTTGGCACTAAATCTTTCTGATTAAAAGTGAAACATCTATAGGACAGATCTCAAAACTATATAGCTGCCCTAATCAACTGTTCATCCATTACTACTGAAATAAGAGATGTAATCTGCTCGTACTTCTTGCAAAAGCTTTTTTTTCTCTCTTCATTTAACTGACTCCAGATAGCAATTAAGTCTTCTAAATCATTCTGTGTGAAATCCAAATGCACATTCTCAGGTAACTCAGACATATAGCCAATAGGCAAGTAATCTTCATTCTTTTGTTGGGCTTCTTTGGATCAAACATGTACTTTATTATACGACTCACATGAGATACTGACTAAGGATAAGTAAATCTGTAGTTTTATGAGATCCATGAAAACTTCTTAGGAGAAATATGTCCTAGAGCAAATATCTAGATGGAGAACTGTATGATATGATTAATGCAAAAAGAAAAAAAAAGAAACAAAATTGAGTTAGTGTAAGAATGTGGTTTGAAATAAAAACATTTTTTGAGTTTTGATATATATTTTTTATTTTATATTACACACAACCTTTTATTCTTATGCGCTTTGGACTTAGGTATTTTCTACAAGAGGGTGGGCAAAATTCTACATAAGGTTAGCTTCCTAGGTTTATTACATGCTGGGTTTAGATTGACACGTGTCTAAAGATTCTCAAATTGTTTCTCACTGTCGTCCAACTGGACTAGTAAGGCACCCCGATCCTCATCTATTACAGGCTACGAGTGGAAAGGATTCAATTTGAATGGAAGTATTTTGCTTGCTATTGTGGAGGTTATCACCTCACGAGGGCATATGTACTCTACTTCCTTCTATAGAGGATGAAGCTCGGGTCTAGAACTCATGCATGAGATGCAACATGTTATTGTGTGTGCAAATATATCCTAATTTATTGAAAGTAATATATATAGAAAAATAAAGCATAAAAGGCATAGTAAAAGAAACGTGTGTGAATTTTTTCTTTTTGTTTTCGATTTGTTTTTTTTTTTTTGACTTTTTGTTGAAAGTGAAAAATAAAAATCTAAGAAACCGATTAAGACTATTTAAATTAAAATTTGAGGATAACACATAGTCAATTTTGGCCTGACTCTCCAAAAAAAATGACGTTCCCAGTGGAGTCGCCAAGCTGTTGTAACGGTTTTGTGTCTGTCTGACGAATTTGAAAATAAAAAAAAATAACGGAATCGCCACCAATCTTTTTTTGACTAGGTGCGATTGGTCACCTTTTAAAACATATCCTTTTTATGAAATCTTAAAATTAATTAAAATTTATTAAAAGGATAATTTTAGGGTCTGCGTAACAGTCTGGGTTCGAAAGTCGATTATGCGTAGGGAAGGATTAGCACCCCACAGCGCCTGTGTAAAATGGTACCAATTAACTATGTGTTATCCTTTGATTTTGATAAAAAACAGTCTCATTTTCGATGTTTGAAAAATAATTTTCTTGATTTTTTTATTTATTAAAAATTATTTTTTATTTTTTATTTATTGTTTCATTTTTATTCAAGAAAAATAAATTACAACCTTTTTATTGAAATAATTCTTAAAATGTTCGAGTATATTGGTAACATTAGAAGAACTTTTTCTCACATAGAGATTTTTTAAGCACCGCTTTTCGAAATACCTTAGAATCCTATCCTTAGAGGCTCAAATTTACTTTTCATAAAAAATTATGTCGTGTATGCAATGTAGAATGTTATCGTATTGATGCACACATTTTATTCTCTTTTTTAGAAATTTTAGAAATTGTTTTACTTTATTTTTTATTTTTTAAATTCTGAAGGAAAAAGAAATTTTTGTTAAATTGAAGTTTTTCTATAAATATTTCAATACACTGAAATATTTTTAAAAACTCTTCTCACATAGGGATTTCGTAAAGCATCACTACTCGGAATACTTTTAGAATCTCATCATTGGATAAAATTTTTTTTTTCTTATTTATATTATTATTATTATTATTATTTTATAAATTAATTTTTATTTTTTATTAACAAAAAAAATTATTGTATTGAAAACTTTTATAAATACTTCAATACATTGGTAGTACTTAAAAAAAATCTTTTTACCTAGAGATTTCGTAGGCATTACTACTCGGAGTGCTTTTGAATCTCATCGTCGGATAAAAAATTTTTATTTTCTTACATTTTTATTATTTTTGTATTATTATTAAGTTTTTTTTATTTTAAAAATTAACAAAATTATAAAAAAACTTAACTATATATTTATCAATTAATCTAACAAATATAAATATTTTAATATGTATAAATATTAATAAAAATATATATAAAAAATAAAAAAAATTTTACCTGAACCGGACCGGTCAACGATTCGATCAAAAAGGGTTTGGTCGGATCGACGCTCGATCCGATCTGGTTAGGTCTAGGTCGATTCAACTAGATCGATCAAAGGCTGAAGGACACGCGGGTTATCGGGTCGGTTGCACGGATACTGGATCGAGTCATGGGTTGACGCGTGGATTCTCAAGGCTTAAAACGACGTCGTTTTGGCTATGAGGCTTTCTATAAAAAAAAAAAAATTTCTCTCATTTTCTCTTCTCCCTCTCTCTCTTTACACTTTCAGACCCTCTCTCTCTAGAACCTGCCAGACAATGGTCGTCCGTCTCTCAGACCATCAACCGTCGTTCACTGGTCACCATCTTCAACGGCTGAAAAATCTTAAAAAATTCTCCTCGACTCCTTAAATATAGATCTGGGTCTAGTTTTTCTTGAATATCACTGGAACGCCCTAGCTTAAACCTCTTTTTTTCTTTTTTTTTTTCTTGAATAGCTAAGCTGATTTTTTTCTTTTTACAGAAAATCTTTTGGCACTAGGTTCCTCATTTTTGGGGAAGACTATGTTTTCTTGATTTTTTTACTTTTTTTATTTTTATTTTTGCAGGGTATCTTTTTGACAAAACACTTTTTTTATTCAGAAATTTTTTTTGGCAATTTTTTTTCCATCCTCCTTTCATTTTTTTTAATCGATCCCTCCTTTTTTTTTATTGCAAGTAACAAGCTCTATTTATAGAGCTTTATGGGATTCAAATATCAGATTTTTTGAAATTTGAATCCCATATTTTTAACCAAAAATCCACACTGCCAAGTTAGGCAATATATGGGGCGATTGCCGGTGACGGCGATGGCTGACGTTTTGAACTATGGTGATAATGCATTTAATGCATTAGATTTAAACTAGATAAGGAAAGAGAAAGAAAGAAAAAGAAAAAAAGAAACAAAAAATAAAATAATAAAATAATAATAATAATAATGATAAAAAATAAAAAAATTATATTTACAACTTCACCTACGAAATATTGACAAATTTTTCTATTGATATTATATTGTTAATCCATCAATAAAATTTTTTTTTTTATTTTATGTTGGTATTCTGTCAATGATGTCAATATTTCTTGCAAAGATACCCATGCTTATCTCTTCCCACAATGTAATATCCATTCACGTCCTTATTTGAATAAAAATCAAATTCCTCATTAAATATAGATAAAATTGATGTCACTAAACAAAACTCTAATTCTTCGTTTTAAATTATTAGAAAAGTAATTTTTTATTCTGAAAAAAAATATATTAATAAAATAAACGCCCTAAGAAGTTTATACTCGTATCTTATTTTATTGACTAAATTCAAAAAAAAAAAAAAAAGCACATAAATCTTTAGATCCGAGCAAAACTGCAATGGCTGGAAAGACTAAACCAGAATTTATATAACTACACATAAATGCATTTTCTTTAATAAAAAGAGATTGCTCTTAGAAAAATAAAATAAAATAAAATGATAAGAGATTGAATTTTTTAGAACACTTATACAAAATTAAAGAAAAGTACAACCTAAAATTAACGTATTGGTTCATATTCTCCCCTTAATTATGATAGGTTTAGGATTGATCAAAAAAGTTTACGATTTGAATAATTTGAATAATTTTTTAAAATTAAATTATTTAAATACATATTACCTTTATTCTTTATTTTTTACTTTCGAACTTGAACCATTTTTTAAATAAAATCTAAAAAATTTCTTTTTATTGATGATATTTTATTGATTAAAATAAACTAAAAATGAAAAAAAAAATACAACCCAATTGAGAAACTTAGGCAAAAAAAAAAAACCTCATTTACATAAACTCCATAGAAGGAGTTAACTTAACCCTTACAACACTTCTACGTTTCCATAACTCATACATTGACATATGAAAGGCATCAAAATCAATTGGAGGAACATTCCATTGGAAATGTTTACGAACTCTTAATGCATTGCTTTGCAACATTGAGTACTCGTCATTGCTTATACCTTGAAGGATTTTCTTCAACACCGGGATATCAATATGGTGAACAATGACTGAGAAGCTTTTCCAATTCAGTATATCTGTGAATGGAAGGTCGTAGTGGTTAGCTAATATTATAGGAACGCAGCCGTAGTATAAGGCATCTGCCACACGGGCGGTGTTTACTTCAAACCCTTTGACATGGATGCAAAACTTGCTGCCGAGCAGCTGTTCAGAGTAGGGTGTCTGGAGGCGGCCGAAGTGTGCAAATATTTCAGTGTCATTGGCCCAAACCTTAAGTAGAGCTATTCGTACCGGAGAGTTCACTGCCCCGGCAAAGAATGCAAGTCTCTTCCTGTATAATTTTCATTTTGCTATGTCAAATAATGATTTTAATTACATATCCCTATTCTTACACTATTTTTCTAGGTTTTAAGGTACTATTAGTTATAAATTCTAAGAGATGATAAGAATTTTTTGATATGCATGTTTTGACCTAATAATGATTTAGGGTTCGAATTGATTCTAAAAAATGCTTATTTGACAGTGTCAAAATCTTTTCCATTTTATAATTATGTAAATGTAAATTGCTTACCTTTGCGATGTAAGAAGGTTTGGAGGATCGCCTTGTCGAGGCCAAACTTGAGGCATAGATGCATCCTTGTGAGGGAGGTAAGAGGAGGGAAAATAGGTTGAAGAGCAAACAAGTTGAATGACATTGAGTCTTGCTACAAATGCTTTATCAAAGGCAATCTTCCCAATGGAATGGCAAGCAACATAGAAATGATCAGCTCCCCCAGTTCGATTCCAATAAGGATACTTACGGGTGATATTGGAGATATAATTCTTGACAAAACCCGGGATTCCATCAACATCAATTCTAGGATCAGTTCTCATTGGTGAGATTGAGAAAGGCATGTAGAAAAGATCAGCTTCATTAGGATCTTTGGTGATGAAATGGGATTTCATCAAAGCTTTCTTGAACAAGAGTTCACTTGCAAAATTTCCTTTGATATCAGAATCAGGAGGCAATAGCACATTTGCAAAGGGATCATCTTTGCTATGAGGATAAACATAGATCTTCAAGCTTTTGTTCATTTGCTTGTAGTCTTGTAGAAAGAGATCACCGTCATGGTATGCTTCCTGGTTATCAGTGTAATTTCCTGAAAATTTTCCAATGCATGAATAATATATTTTTTTATTCTTGAAATTTTTGACGAAAAATAAAACGAAATTGAATGAATATATAAAAATTCAAAACTTCTCTTTCTTTGGCTGGTCATGCTAAATTATATTCAAATAAATTAACGTCTCTCTTTTGCATTTTCTTTCATATTTTTTTATCATACGTAATATAATAAATTCAACGATTAAAATTATAAGAATTTGAAAACGTATATATCTTCAAGTGCAAAACTTGAACAGTTCATACCATTAGTTAAGCCGAACAAATTTCCTAGAAACCATTGATTAGCCCTTGTCATACGAGCAATTCTCGAAGGGTCGGCGAACAAGTCGTCATTGTCATTATTTTCAAATGGAACTATTGGGATGGTTTGACCGATCAAAGAAGAAATAGAGGATGTGGAAGGCAAAGTTTGGAGGTAAAGAGTGGTTTGGGCATGATCGTTTGTGACATTTCCCGTAGTGGAAATGTAAATGAAAATGACAAGAAGGGTAGTAAGAGCTAAACTTACATGTAAAAAATAGAAAAATCCCTTCAAAGCTGCAGGGAAACGATGCTGAGAGACTTGGTAGAGAAAAGAAGATGATTTCCCCATTAAGAACAAAAAAAAAGGAGAAATTAAGATTGGAATTTCCCAATGAATGGTTTATATATGTATAGTTTAGTTGATGGTTAAGGTTAATTGATGGACAGCTACATCCATTAAAAATAATCAAGATCAAAAGATGGTGAACTATTAAAAGAAAAAATGTGTGAATAAGAGGCTGTTTTCAGCAATTTTCTTTCATTAATTTATGAAAAGGCTTGTCTTAAAACTAAAAACATGTTGTATAATGCGGCTTTTATTATTTTCTCTCCTCAAATTAACCATTTATAAGATATCTTTTTCTTCTTCTTTTCAAGTTTTCTACTCTATCCATACAATTCTAAATCAACCACTTAAATATGGCTTTTTTTTCGCTATTAAAGATTTAATGCCATCTATATCACTAGTTTTAACTCTTTTGGATATTTTCTAAGGATACTTTGGTTGTGCGGTGGGATTTATTTCATCCTGTTGTACATGTTGTTTTTATGATTGAATTTTTAAAAATTATTAACAAATGGTTAGTTTAATTGATTAAAGTTCCTCTTCTTTAATAAAAAAATTTTGAGTTTGAATCATATCAATTATCGTTTATTGTGATCATTTCAAATATATAATTTGTAGTTATTTATCTTAAGTTATCAGATACAATATATTTTACCCTAATATAGGTAATCGAATAATATATCTATTCCGAATTTTTAGTACAAAAAGAATTAAAAATTTAATCATAAAATTTAATTACAACACGGTGAAATTTTCACTTATCATGCAATCAAAGGACCTCAAATTCTTTTTTTTTCCCTCACTTCATTCCAAATCAATCTACATTTAAAGTAAAATGAATGAGTTAATTTTGTGTCGAATCAGTCTATTACCATAACCTACATTAACTCAATGTATTAAAGTTCAAATAAGCTGCATGCCTATCACCTACTCAATTGAATTAATAACTTAATTCAATCTTTCACTTTTGTTTAAACGAAATTAAATTATTTAATTATTTAATTTTTTTATAAATATATATATGAGATATGTGACCCCTCTAATTCTGTTTATATAATAATTTAAAATTTTATCGATTGTGTAAAAAATAATTTTACTTTTAAGCTAGATTCAAGTGAAATTTGTGTTCTTAAAGGAGAGAAAAAGAAAGGTGGAAATACGACAAATTTTGTCCGCCTGTAACCCAACCTGACTGACAAATTTATGGGCCCCGAGCCAGTGTTGGCCCCAGCATTAAGTCATTATCTTGTCTTCAATGCCCCAAGTCCAAACCACTAAGATTCGCTTTCGACCTTGTCTGAAAATTTAATTCCCATATGTTAATTTTCATTTCCACTTGGTTTCTTTGCTGCCATCTTTATTATTTCGTATACTACTTTATTTCATGTCTATTATGTCTTATTTTGACTTTGCACAAAATTTTTTAAAATTTTTTGAGTTGGATTTTGACTTTTTTTATTATAAAGTTTGTTTCTCAAATTACCCGTATTTTAAAAAAAAAGTAAGAAAAAAAAAGATATTATAATTAAAGGATAATAAAAAAAAATAAAAATGATTTTTTCTTCAACGTTTCAAAAGAAATATATATATTTTTTGAGACAACTTAAGATATACAAACGAGACATAATTCATGAAACGTAGATATTACTAAATAGTTTAGAAATGAAAGATTCTCTGAACTCGTAAGAAAAATTACTATAGGAGAGGGGGGACCTCAAATTTAATGCTGCTTAACTGATTCGCATATTCAAGTGGTACCAAATATAATGGAAGAACAATATTGAATGAGAGTTCCAACTTCCAAGGGGCCATTGATATGAACCAGAACCATGATTGCATCTCACATTTCCCATATGCTAAAAGAAATTTGTAATATATTTGACCCCTGCATTCATAATGTCAGATTCTGGTTCTGACCCGTCTCCATTTATTTAAACGTGATATAAATGACAAAGACCCAGTCTTCTTTAGGACAACTTGGAAAGAATTGTCATTGGATAAAGCGAACCTGGCCATGTGAGGTTGTAAACTTCAAATACACACAATACCACCCATAGATTTCAGCTGCATATATTGAAAATTTATAGATTTTTTCTATATGTCTACACAAATGAATCAACATGAAAATTTTGATGAAATTAAAGGTATAGCATTATGGAGGTTCTGCTGAACAATCATGGTCCATCTCCCAGGCAAGAAATGATAGACCAGAAAAACAAATAAAAAGTGGGAAAAAATTGTTGAGAGCTCTGAATCTTTATATATATTCCTTGGAAGCACTTAGCCGAACCCTGACAGAACTTCTCCTAAGCCACAGCTCATACATAGCCATGTAAAATGCATCATAATCAACTGGTGGAACATTCCATTTGAAATGTTTCCTCACCTTCAATACATTGCTTTGCAACCATAAGTATTCTTCCAAGCTTATTCCTTGAAGGATTTTTTTCAACACTGGGATGTCCATGTAATGTACAACGACTGAGAAGCTCTTCCAGTTGAGAATATCAGCAAATGGCAGGTCATAGTGATTAGCAAGGATAACGGGAACACAACCATAATGTATTGCATCTGTTACTCTTGCTGTGTTAACTTCAAAGCCTTTGACATGGAGGCAGAACTTGCTTCTAAGTTGCTCCTCACCATCATCTGTTTCAAGTCGTCCGAAATGAGCAAATATTTCAGTGTCATTTCTCCAGTGTTTTAAAAGAGCTGCGCGTACCGGGGAGTTAACTTGTCCGGCAAAGAAAGCTAGTTGGTTCCTGCAATAAATTTTAATTTGTGAAGCTAAGTGATGCTTCATCTAAAGTGGATTATAAGTGTACAATTTATGGTTAGAAAGGTAAAGAGCTCTCACCTTTTTGATGAAACAAGTTTTTTTGGATCTTGTTCTTTAGGCCAAATTTGTGGCATAGAAACATCTTTGTGAGGAAAGTACCCTGCTACAAAATATGTTGAAGAGCAAACAACTTGAATGGAATTTTCTTTGGCATCAACGGCTTTATCCATGGCTATTCTGCCAATGGAATGACAAGCAACATAGAAATGATCAGCTCCTCCAGTTCGATTCCAGTAGGGGTACTGATGACTGATATTGACGATGTAATCTTTGATGAAATCTTGCAGTCCTTCAGGGCCAATTCTAGGATCGTGGCGCAGATCAGCAATGGAGAAAGGCATATAGAAAAGATCTGCCTCGTTCGGATCCTTTGTTATAAAGTGGCTGTTGACAAGAGCCTTTTTGAAGTAAAGTTCACTGGCATAATGACCCTTAGGATCAAAATCCACAGGCAAGAGCACGTTCGCAAAGGGGTCATCCGGCTTATGGGGGTAAACGAATATCTTTAAGCTCTTATTCATTTCCTTATAGTCTTCCAGAAAGATATCAGTATCATGATATATCTCTGTGTTATTCATATTGTTTCCTGAACAAACAAAAAAAAAAAAAAAAACCAACAGTTTAATTCCCATACCAGCATATCCTGATGAGAAAAGTTCTCGTCTCTATGCAATGATACTATGGAGTGGGTCTAAATTTGCTGATATGAGGTTATATAGATTGCCTTATCTCAAAGCCCTATATTACTCGTCATAAATTTTTATGGCTAAAATGAATACCAGCAGTCTGCTATTATATACTTTTTAAGGGAATTATACTGAGAAGAAATGAGCAATCTGAAAATCATGTCTAACTCAAAAAATGTATATGTAACAATAATAAAAAAAAACTAAACAAGATGAAGCTCAAAACTCAAAGCTACATACCACCGGAGCCAAACAGATCTCCTAGTCCTACGGACCATTGGCTCTGCTTTGCGTAACTGGCAGTTCGCGGAAGATCAAAAAATAAATCTTCAGCGGTGTTGTCGATTGAAAATGGTATAGTCTCCTCATTGTCAGTTGAAACAGGGATTATCAGATCAAATAAAGATAAATTTGTTGCAGGTTCTAGGAAAGGACTAGCTTGGGGATTTGCGAAGACCCTTGAGGTTGTGTATATGTAAATGAAAATGAGTAGAAAGGTAGTAATGGCTAAACTTATGGGTAACAAAAAGAAAAATATTTTGAAAGTAGGGGGATACTGCTGCTTGGAGACATTGTAAATAACAACAGAAGACTTCCCCATGAAGAGTTAGAAGGCAAGGTTCTAAACAAATGTTGATCATTTAAAAAAGAAAAATGAACAGATGAAGTTTGTCAATATCCTTATATAGTTTATCTTATGGTTTTGGGGTGCATTGACAGATAGCTACATCAATTATAAATGGTCATGAAGTGAGAATAATGAAAAAAATCAGACAAAAAATGTGGATGATGTACAATTTACAGAAATATTTATCAGGTAGGCTTGTTTCCAAAACATGTTGCAAGTGTAGCTTTCTGCAATTTTCAAACTACAAATTGTTCACCTCAAAGTTGAAGCTTTCAGTCCATAGCAAGTCACCGGTTTGTAATTAAGTTTCAAGATTTTGACTTCTGTATTGATTTGTCTGCAATCATACTTTTGAAGCAGGTGAGGAAATGTCAATATCTTGAATATGGGAATGAGAGAAGTGAGTGAATGGTTTCTTGGAACAGAAGGGAGGTCCCAGAGAAATGTAAGAGGTCTTTTCTTTGCAAATATTGTCAAATAAAGATAAAAACAAATCTCACATAACTCTTTATAAACAAGTACAGCACATAATAAATCGTAAAACTTATTTGTTTATTCCTATTACTGCATCAGATTGTCAACAATAGAAGCTCACTTTTGTTTGATAAAAGCTATCAGCACCACTTTCATATAAGAAAATTTTGCTCAAAGCCATATGCTTGGTACAAGACTGCCATAAAATGTGATAAATATGGTAACATTTAGTTGGATGGCTTTAACATCTGGTTCTATGAAAACCTGCAATCTATAAGGATATTAGTTAATACTAAATATATATAACAAAATATGTGTGTGTTCCATGCATCTTTAGAAGTTTCGAAGACCTACCAGCTAACGATTTTTCATGAAGAATTAACGAGAAGTTTACATATATTTTATGGAGAAGAAGTGAGCATATAATGAATTAACAGTTAACCTTTTGGTTGTTCTGATTTCTGGTTTTGAAACAACAGCTCATTACCTGATCAGCAGAACAAGCCCAAAGGTTTCATCTTGACATCAGCAATAGAAACTTATGAACATTGTCAAACAAGGAATGCAGGATTGCCTAGATCACTCAGTTACTTAAAAATAACCTGCCCCAAATTGTTCTCTTTCTTTTGTTTTTTTTTTTTTTTTTCATTTTTCATTTTTACTTTTTCTGAATTAGATAAAACAAGGAAGCTCTAATAAATTACAAGTAAGGCCATATTGTGGTCGAGAAACAACCACAATACTTTCCTCTAATCCAACTAGTTATGCAGCCATATGGCTGGAGGAAGTCAACATAAAGTTGGAGAAACCGGACACAAGGACCTTGGTTGGCAATGATTTCTTTCATTTGATTTCCAAGTCAGCAACAGAACAAAATCTTGAAATTATATGTGGCTTTTTTGCTGGGAGTCTATATCACTGAGAAATCAGAAATCTGATTGTTTTCAAACATGTATTCATAATACTTTTCTTGGATGTGACAGTTTTCCTGAGCAGTAGCCAAAGTTTCAAGGTTTCTTCAACTAAATTACAAACTCAGTTCTTTAGTGGAGCATATAATTCATTTCATTAGGACTAAGATGTTGGGAATATTGACTCAAATCCCATAAGAGATTTGTTTGGGATTTGTTAGAGATTTGTTTGAGATTTGTCAGATATTGCTTATGGACAAAAAGATTTGCAAAAGAAGAATTCAAAGAGAAAGAGGATTCTTAATAGGTAAGTTTGACTTGTAAGAGAAAAATTTTAGAAGGAAAGGGATTCTTAATAGGTAAGTTTGACTTACAGGAGAAGAATTCTAAAAGAAAAGAGATTCTTAATGGGCAAGTTTGTATGGTTATAAATAGGTGAGGTCTCTACAGGATTAGGTATGAGAAAAAGATGTAAGATTGTAGGGTTTTGTGGGATAGACACTCTATAGGAGTATTGGGCTTTTACGTCTTATGTGTGTGTATGTTTGTTTGTGAGTGGACTAGAGAAGACTGAGAGGGTCCACCACATAGGTACTAGAGGAGACTGAAAGGGTCCACATAGGTATGATGTATGGGAGCATATGGATATGTATTTGGTTATGTTGAAAAGGTGCACAAGAGTTTGAGTTTGTATTTGTTTGGGTTGATAATACTCCATAGGATTAGAGGAGATTGAGAATGTCTTATGAGTATTGATTATTGAGTGAGGATGTATATTTGTAATTCTCTACAACTAGTGGATCTTGTTTCTCATCCGTGGACGTAGGTTGATTAGACCGAACCACGTTAAATTGTTGTCTCGTGTGTTTAATTTATTGTTTGATTTTGTTTCCGTTGATATGATTGGATTGAAGTCTTTTAGTCCAACAAAAGATTCTTTGAACAAACAATGGCTTCAATTACATATGGCAAAAACTAATGGAACACACTTTCAACCAATGTATACTATAGAATACATTAAGTAGTAAAACCATGTCTAGAGATTTAGTAATGAAATAAAAAAAAAAATGCAGGAGAAGCTGAACCTTTATCTCAGATATCATAATTCTAATCATCAAAGAAAGGCGTAATCAAAGGCATAGACTTGTGCTGGAACCACTCCTTGGTAAAAGGGGGCATAGAGAAGCTTGAAATTATACATCCAAGTAAAGAGAATACAAGGCAGTGGCTTTTAGAATCATGGTCTGGCAGAGAACCAACCATTTGACATAAATGCTTGTGTAATATGTTATCAACATAGTTTTACTTACATCCAATCGATAAGTAAATCAACCCCGTCTAATTTCGGAAAAATTTCTGTGTGTCGCTCATGTTACAAAACAGAAATAAAATAAGATCAATGAAAAAGGGGAACAAAAAGTACATGATCGCCTAATGCCATTAAAGACCCCAAAGCATTAAAGCAATTTACATTTATTCCATCCAAGCACTTAATCGGACCCTCACAGAACTCTGGCGGAGCCACAACTCATACATTGTCATGTAAAATGCATCATAATCTATTGGAGGATCATTCCACTGGAAATGTTTGCGAACCTTCAACGTGTTACTTTGTAGTACGGAATACTCTTCTAAGCTAATCCTTTGAAGTATATTCTTTAATACTGGGATATCCAAGTAATGAACCAAAACTGAGAAGCTCTCCCAATTTAATATGTCACCAAATGGGAGATCATAGTGGTTGGCAAGAATCACCGGAACACAACCATAATATATTGCATCTGCAACACGAGCTGAGTTTACTTCAAAGCCTTTGACATGAAGGCAGAACTTGCTACCAAGAAGCTGGTCAGCATCAGGTGTTCTGAGCCGGCCAAAGTGAGCAAAAATGTCGGTGTCATTTCCCCAAAGTTTAAGAAGAGCTAGACGTGCAGGTGAGTTGATTGTCCCAGCAAAAAAGGCAAGCTGCTTTCTGCAGTTTCATTTGTCAAAGTAAGATAAGAATACTTTGAAAGCAGCAAGCAAAGAGGGAATTCTTTTGTAGTAATTTTCAAGATCATAAAGTATTTCAATACATTATCCTCATCATCTAATAACTAGCAGATCCAAATAAATGGAGTAACCTTTTTGATGAAGCAAAGTTTGGAGGATCTCCTTGTCTAGGCCAAATTTGTGGCATAGAAGCATCCTTGTGAGGAATATATCCAGCAACAAAATATGATGAAGAGCAAACAACTTGAATCACATTGAATTTGGCTTCAAATACTTTATCCATTGCAAAACGCCCAATGGTATGACAAGCAACATAAAAGTGATCAGCCCCGTCTGTTCGATTCCAATAAGGGTACTTGTGACTAATATTGTGGATGTAATCTTTGATGAAATCTTGCATTCCTTCTGGACCAATCCTAGGGTCATGCCGCATTTCTACTATAGAGAAAGGCATAAAAAAGAGATCTGCCTCACTTGGATTCTTTGTGATGAAGTGGCTTTTAAAAAGAATCCTCTTGAAATAAAGTTCACTGGCATAATGACCCTTGGGATCATAATCCACCGGCAAGAGCACATTAGCAAAGGGATCATCTCTGCTGTGAGGATAAACATATATCTTAAGGCTCCTATTCATTTCCTTGTAATCTTCTAGGAAGAAATCTTTATCATGGTAGACCTCTGTGTTATTTACATAGTTTCCTGAAACCACAAAATCCAAGATTTTAAACAAAATGAATGTTGAACAGATTGAGGGAAAGTACATAAAAGGCTAGATTGGATTGCCGCAAATTTTCTACAGGTGCTAAGATCACAGCTAAAAGAAAACCAGAGGTCTTCAAGCATAAAGTTCAAAGCATAAACCAGAGGGCCGATGTGCTGCTAATTCTATTTTGAGAACCAACTTTTCTAGGGAAATATCATTAGAGTTTTCAGAAGGAACATTGAACAAAATGATAGCAACAATGCAGATTGGTTTACTAGTTCCAGGTTGGTATTTTCTTGTTGCATTATTGATTTTGTACGAGTCCAGGCTAAACACTATGCTCAAATCATTCTCAGCATTATGTTCAAAAAATTGATTACTTACGTCTGAATCTTGAAATTTTGGTCTTAAACTTCAGCATGATATTAATCACAAAGATAAGTTCAAGAAAAGAAATCATCCACTCCATCTGAATGATTTAACTTTTATGAGAAAAAAGTTAACAGGGTACTAAACTAACATTATATCTCCTAAAAAGAACATATTCCTATAGCAAGCTCACTTACCATATAAGCCAAAAAGGCTTCCAATAGACCATTGGTTCCCTCTCGACAAAGGAGCAGATCTAGGTGAAAAGAACAATTCTTCAGCTGCATTTTCAAGTGAAAATGGAACCATTTGCTGGATTAAAGAAGATATTGGTGAAGACTCTTGGTAAAGATTGTTTTGTGTATTGGTGAACACTTTTGAGGTTGTGCAAAATATGTATAAGCAAATAAGAAGAACAGTAGAAATTGCCAAACTTAAGGGTAAGAAAAAGAAAGGACCCCCAAAAGATGTTGAGAAACGGTGCTTAGAGAATTGGTAGCAAAAAGAAGAAGACTTTCCCATGGGAGCAGGAGGGGCTTAAAGAATGGAGATTGAAAATTCAATCTATTAGTATATATAGTTCAGTAAATTAACAGATAGCTACATCCATTAAAAGCTGTCAAGATCAGAAAAAAAATGAAAAATTTAATTGAAGGTCTGTATTAAGAGCCATTGTCACATTTTGTTTCTAATTCTGCAGTGAAAACTTGTCTTAAACATGTCTATGATAAATTCTTCTGCAGTTTTCAGAAATAAAAGCCAATTAACCATTTATAAAGACCTTTGCACATGTTATTAACAAAGAATCTTGTTGCTGTATCTTGAATGGATTTGAGATTACACCAGGGTTTCATGTTTAAAAGGTGGATAGAACCTTGTGATAATGAAGAACTTTTCCAATTTGTTCTGTAGCAAGATCAAATTCAGGGGTGTCCCACACTGATTCATAATGAAAAAGAAAGGAGAACATCATTTTGTAATTTCTAGAAAGACACTCATGCTTTTCTCCAAGTAACTATATTTTCGCTTGTTTATTTTCACTTTTATATGAAGACAAGTTGGTAGGTGGAAATGTCAATCTTATTCGTATCAAATTCCGAAATTTAATTTTTTATTTAAATAGAGATAAAAAATAAATATCATATTATAGATATAAGGATGAGTATAATTTTAAATTTTTATTGATTATGGGAATAAAAACAAATAATATGGCACGTATCCCATACTCATACTCTTTACATATTTAAAATTATTTAGTAAATAAATTTTTTATTAAATAATATTAATTATTTTTTTAAATTAACTAGAATTAATATATTTTTATAAAAAAAATGTATATTAATATATATTTATAAATAAAATTGTCTAAATAGATAAAATAAAAATAAAAAAAATTGAAAAAACAAATTCTTATTTTTATTTTTTAAAAAAAGATACGGGTATAAAGATTATCCTTACCCATTAAATATTCACAAGAATAAATATAAGAATAAATTTGAAATATGCATTAAGTACGAGAATACGAATAGATATAATATAAAAATCTAAGGATAGGGATAGAGAATGCTCTACCCTCCCCATACCATACCCTACCCATTGGCATCTCTATTAATAGGATCCATATTAATCTATTTTTTTCTTTTAAAAAAATCTTATACATTTTTTTTCATTCTTTATCTTCTTGTTTAATAAAATATATGCATAATTTTTTATAACTCTTTTTTGTGTATGTTTTCTTCAATACAAATATCTATTATTATATGAGTAACCAATTTAACTCAAATGAAGATAAATATGACTAATTAGCTTGTTACCTATGATATACAAATTATTTTTATTTTATTTAAATGTGAATAAAAATATAAATTAAAATTATTTAATTAATTATTTATATATTCAAAGTATATGCAATATATAAATAATATAATTAAAATATCAAATCATAATAAAAATTATTTTTAATCAAAAAATTGATAAATTTTAAAATATATGATAAAAAATATTGGAGAAAGAAGAAATATTCACAAAAATAAAAATAAAAAAAAATCAAATTAGTAAATATTTGATAAAACTATATTTGATATTTTTAAAATTTAAAAGATATATATCTAAATTAGTAAATATTAATTTTAAAAAATAAAAAATATATATTATCGCCTTGATTGAAGGTGATAGGTGAAGTTTTCATTTAAAAATCGAAGAATAGATATTTGTTAATAATAATATTTTATTTTATTATTTTTAGGATGACCGGAGAACTGAACAACACCTCTTGAGATTGTGTGAGACCAAGTTTTAATAATTAATAACATCTATCACATAATATTGATTATAAATTAATCATATTATATATAACAAAGTAAACATATAAGAAAGTAAAGTATACTAAATTTAAATTTTATTTTATTGGTCAAAAAAAGAAATTAAATTTTTTATGTTTGAATATGTAAATTTTTTTTATATAATATAATGAATTAATGAGTAATTATATTTGCATTTATGAGTAAGATTAGATTGATAAGAATTTACATGTGTGGGGCTGGGACCATTAATGATAGGATTTTCCCCTTTTCAGTATGTATGGCAAATTATTAGAAAATTAATTTTTAAAAATAAAAAGATATATTTAAAGGTGTATTTGATAGTTAAAGATGTGTTTATTTCGATTAAAAGAAATGTTTTAGATAATTAAAAATTTTTTTATATAAATATATCTTAAAAAGATTTGAATAACCAGTGATTTTTAAATACATCTATTTAATCTATAAGTAAAAAAAATAAGAATTAATTTTAAATAATTTAAATAAAATCTTACCAAAATAAAATAATAATAATAATAATTTTATCTATTTAATTTTTTAAAACTAAATTGATTTTCCATTTAAAAATTAAAAATTTTGAATAATTAAATAAATTTTTTAATATAACTTTTGATAAATAGCTTAAAATTAAAAAATATCTTATGTATCATTATAAAGAGAAATTTTACAAATTTGTTATGTGTCAAAAAAAAAAAAAACTATCCACCTATGCATCCACCTAAGTAAGTTTTATCATATTTTATACATATTATAATATAATATTATATAATATATATATTGATTTGCATTGAAAAATGAATTATGTACTTATATTAAACTATATTATTTTTACTATATAATTCAAATGAAGATAAATATGATTAATTTGGGTTTTATCAACTCTAATTTCTTTCTTAAAGATTTGAATCCCCAAGGTTTTCAAATCCGAAATTCAAGTTTCTAATTTGTTATTTATGTAATTTATATGTAGTGTTTTTATTAATTTTCAAGTCAATTCCGAAAATTAATGAAACTCAAATTATAAATTTTTAATCTGCCTTGGTAAAAAAACTATCTTATTAAAAAAATCTTCATCAATCCTTTAATTATGCCTAAATTTTCTAGGTTTGACAAGATTTTTTTGACCTTATCAGAAAATATTGTTTGCCTTTTATCTCAATAAAATCTCTGCCTAGATATGTACATTTAGCACGTCTCTTGTAAAACAATGGCGACGCCTACTTAATTTTTCTAGGTATAAGAGATCGACTAGTTTGCAAATCAAGCTCCAAAACATCAATCATGGCCACCCAAAGAGCGATGGCTGTTACTTCAAACAATAACCAAGCCTCTGATGATCAATCTGATCAACTACCCTTCAATGAAGTCAAGCTCTTTAACAAATGGAGCTATGATGAAGTTATTGTGAGCTCGTCTTCCTACAATTTTTTTTGTTTCATTTATATCTATTTATATATATATATATATATATATTCATTCCTTTGGAAAGCTAATTCATTAGAAAAATCGAGATGAGTTGTTTATATATATATAAACATGTTTTCTAAATTTCAGTATGCTTATGACTAGATTTTATTAATAAAATTTTTATTTTGGCTGAGAAAAAAATATTTAACTTTATAATTAGCTTTCAAAATGTTTGATTCAGATTTTGTTTCTTTGGATTTGAATCTTGAATCTTATTCTCAATTCTAAAGAGTTTTAATTATAACAGTTGAATTAATAAGTCTAAAAACAAATTAAAGTTAAATCTGAAATATTCAGTTGTTTAGATAAAACCTTAGCTGGTCCATTTTATGATGTTGATTATTTTGGTTTAATTATACATTTTTTTTCTTTAATTTTGCAGCTAAGTGATCAATCGTTGACGGATTACATTAGCTTCCAGCCAGGCAAGCATGCTATTTATGTACCACATACAGCCGGGAGGTACCAAGTGAAGAGGTTTAGGAAGGCTCAGTGCCCCATTGTGGAAAGGCTGGTTAATTCCTTGATGATGCATGGCCGCAACAATGGTAAGAAAATGATGGCTGTGAGAATTGTTAAGCATGCCATGGACATCATTAATCTTCTCACTGATCAAAACCCCATTCAAGTCATTGTTGATGCCGTGAAAAACAGGTAATTAATAACTATATCATTTGTTACGAAGTTTAAATCTAGTTTTGGAAATCGATTATTATCCTATATATATCGCTTTTAGGAAATTTAGTCTCTGAAAGATGATAGATTCATTTACATGACTAGTCATAAACAAAAATGGTGATAATTTTTTTCTCTTCAAATTTGTTCATAGTGGACCAAGAGAAGATGCAACTAGAATTGGATCAGCCGGTGTGGTGAGAAGGCAAGCGGTTGATATCTCTCCATTGCGTCGAGTGAACCAAGCAATATATCTTCTCACAACAGGTGCTCGTGAAAGTGCCTTTAGAAACATCAAAACCATTGCTGAATGCTTGGCTGATGAATTGATCAATGCTGCAAAGGGTTCTTCTAACAGGTACATATCAATCCCATAAACAAAATTCAAGTACTCTTTAATTTTCTTTTTTCAATTCTTTTTTTTCCCTGTTTGCTCTTTCAAAATTGATATATGGTTTCTTGGATGTCTATATATATACAGCTATGCTATCAAGAAAAAGGATGAGATTGAGAGAGTTGCAAAGGCCAATCGTTGAAAATGGAGTTCTGCTGGGATGGTGAAGAACCCCGCCTCTAGCTCTTTTTTTCTTTTTTTTTTTTAATTTGGTTCTCGCCCTGGAATAATCGCAATTGCTATTTTATAACTCAATTGGAGGATGAAAACTTATCATTACTATCTGTAAGGTTTTGGAGCCTTCTGGCTTATTTAAGGTTTTGGAGCCTTCTGGCTTATTTCCTTTTTGTAAGTTCTTTTTGGACTGTAATAATCTTTTAATTCTGTTTGGTTTCACAGATTTTTCTTTGTATATCTAAAATAATTTTGCTATTGTTTCTATAACACAATAATTAACAAGAAAAAATATGACTCAGTTTTTCTTGACATTGAAATGCCAATGCATGCATGATGTGTAAAGCAACAATTATCGATACGATTATAATAATTGACAACAATGGATTCGATTATACTTATACAGATGTACGAATGCCAAAACAACATTCCATTGGGACTGAAGCGGTTCCCACTTCTGTACTAAAAGAAATTTTAGGCTTCCTTTGATAAGAAAGAAAGGCAGAAGAAAAAAAATTGTTTTAATTTAATGATCTAGCTACCAAATAACACATTTTGTAATATAATTTAACCATAAATTAAGAAATTTTTCGTTTCTTTTTATCAAATGAAGTAGTAATCTTTTAAACAAAAAAAACAATCATAAAAATAAAAGCACGACATTCATTTCTTGATGAATCAAATGTTTAAAGTCACACAGATCATTAACTCTTAGGGGGCCCAACAAAATTTCTCCTCTATTTCTCACATCTTTTAAAGAATAATGAAAAAAAGCTTATTTAAAAAAAAGTTTCTATTGATTTTCCCTGATTATTTTCTGATACTACAATTTTTCTCATTTTTTTTCCATTTCAACCAAATAGGAAAATGGATTGGGCTAAAAGCCTAACCCATTTTCTATATCAAAGAAGATTTTGAAAATGATGTTATGATTAGTAATAATGAAGATCTCATTCTTTTGAAAGGTCGTCATCAAATGATAATGAAATGTTCATAATTGTATGATTTTTTGTGCCCAGATTATTAATTTGAAATTGACAAGATCACAAAGATCATGACTAGCCCTCCATTAAATTGGGTGGGCAGTTGAGACAAAGGACAGAAGCATGTATATAGGGGAGTTGGAAGGAGAGAAGGGTAGGTCCAGGCCAGTGAAGCATGCATGGTCATCCAAAGGTTTGGTTGTTGATGTATGTCAATTTATCTAACCCTCATGAGCCTTGACCTAGCTAAAAACACACTCTTAATCTCCAATTTTTCCTCTCTTTTTTTTTTTCTGTTGCAATTTAAACATAATCTTTGGCTACTTTCTACTTTTTCTTACCATCTTTGGATGGATTTTACCCCCACAATAAAATAGTTCTCTTCATCCTTTTGGAACTTGCTATTGATTGGAACTTCAATGGTGATCATTTACAGCTGCAGTGGCATTGATCGACTGCTTCTTGTTTCCAGGTTAGTTAAATTATCAATCACATACACACACACATATAGCTTGCTCATATTGTTCTTCAGTTTCTTATATTTTCGTTTCAGTTCTTACTTGAAAATAATGTCATGATAGTGAGAAGGTTAGTCTTTGCATATATAGTCATGTTTCTCTCTTCCTTAATTATAGGCTTTAAAAAATTTATGAAGTTTACCCTTTTTGAGTGTTTTGATATTGGAGATTTTGTATTCCGAATTTTCCAAGTCATTTCATTTTGCATTTTAGGTGAAAATCTTTAAAATTTTGATTAATTGATCGATACTATTTTATTTAAATTGTAATTAGTTAATTGTAGTATAATAATTATAAGTGATAGATTTTTATGTTTATATGCTCTCAACTTTTAATTGTAATTGGCTTTAATATTAATTTTTTATGTTTTATACTATTGATAAACTATTTATTTTAATTTCACAAAAGCCAAAAAAATTAAAAATTAATATGAAACGTAAAAAACAAGTGAACATATATTTGAAGTGATTCAAAAGAAAAAAAAATAGAGATAATTTAATTTACAACAAAAAAAGTAGAATTAAGTATTAAAAAATATTTTAAAAAAAAAACATATCACTTATAATTCTTGCATTACAATTATTCAATCAAAATTTACGATTATATAAATTCAGGGATTCACCTTTACATAATTTTTTATTATAATTAATTAATAAATTACAAGATTATAATAAAAAATTATAGATGAAATACTTTTCAAAAAGATATTAGAACATGTGGTCCAAGAGTCAGGCTATATGTCCGGACAAAGTTTTTCAACCTTAACCTGGTATGATCAAATGCATTATTTAATTAATAAAAATTAATTTTAATTTAATTTTAATTTTTAAAATTCTTGAACCTTTAAAACTTAATAGGACTTGATCCAGCTTGAGACAGAATTTTTGAAGAGCCAACCAAAACTGACTGGGTCCATATACAGGTATAAAGTGACCAAATTCATTCCTCAATTGAAATTGGCTATGACATAATTTACAATAAATATTTTACCCTATGGCCAAAAGGGTCCACAAGGAAGTACAAAGTTTACCTAACGACATAGAGATATGGAGATACAGGAGCACTTTCAGGGGGTTCAAAAAGCTAGGTACTTTTGGCTGGTGTTGGATTTCAATAATAATACAAAATTCACTCTGTGGTTCTGGATGTGCTGGGGCATTGGCCCTGCCTGCATGCCACCTACTTCAAACACAGCAACCTCTCACATGCCCTCCCCATTATCTGCCATTCTTAGCTTTTAAACCCAGCAACCTAGAAAAGTAGTGCTCTTTTTTTTTTTTTAATCCAAGGAATTGCTTTAGTCTTTTCCTAGTGCTGATCATGAAGATCATCGGTCCAATGAGCGTTTTCGTATTTCTTAATAAAATTACGTGTGCAGATAAAAATTATAATAAAAATCATATAATACCGAACATCAAATTAATATATAAAATTAAACCAAATTCACTTGCAAAATTATTAAAGGAGTGGAAGAGCTTATCCTTGGTATTGAAATTTTAAACAAAATTTTTAATATTAATACTATAATATTTTTATAATTTTTAAATTACAGTTTTTTTTCGTATTATTAAAAATTTTTGAAAAATTAAATTAATTTAGTTATTTATTACTATAATTTTATAAAGCTAAAACATTAGTTATTGATTTGTTCAGGTGAAGGAAACATGCATGATAAAAGCATGTTTTTTCTTAATTTGAATTATACACTGTTATTTTACCATAAACAGATGATTTGTTTGGCTAGAAGTCTAGAGCATACTTAAGTAAAGATGCTAAAGAAAGCTAATTGATGATGTCCCATGTTTTTCGTCCATATCCCGCTTCCGCCGTCCTTGGAAGACTCGCCGTCTCTTTTTCTGCTTGGGAAAAAGTAAATAGGCAATCTTTAAAAAAAAGATCAATGAGTTTCTAGTTTGATGTTATGGAATTAATTTCAAGATTGCAAGTTTTAAGTTGAAATCTCAATTGTAATTGAAAATAAAAAATAAATAATGAATGTAATTAAGAAATTTTTATGAACAATGATGTCAAATTCAGACAAAGCCGCAAACCGACAAAGATATTCATTTGAGGGTTAACGAAATACCATTTGCTTGTCCAACTCTATACACAAGCTGCTGTTATTACACCAAATAGGTCTAAGTAGGTTTGAACATCTAGATTGGATAATTTTTTTTTTTCTAAATAAAACGAATTTGTTTAGAAATTAAGAGATTATACAACCAACAAAGACCGAGTCAAGCAAGAACATTGTTCTATGTGCAAGTTCAAAAACAAACTAACAGGACACTGCCTCAGGAATAAGCTCATTTTTACTTAAATCCAATACCTCCAAGTTTTCTAGGGACGGCAATCGAATCTGTCTCTGACGGGTTCCGACTCAATCCGACCTTATGAGATCGATTTTTTTTTTTTGAAATTCAGATTTGGGGTTCGGGTTTTAGTAAACTTGATCCAACCTGACCTGATATTATATAAAAAATTATTTTTTAATTAATTATTTAAATTTTTATTTATATATATTTATATAATGATATTTTAAATATTTATATTTAAAAAATAATATTTTATATTTTAAAAAATAATATTTTATTAATTTCGGGTCGAGTCGAATTGGGTACTGTTTATATAGCATCGAGTCGGGTTCGGGTATGAAAAAACAAAAAAAAAATCGAATAAGATCAAGTTCGGGGCAAGCAAAACCGACCCCGAACCCGACCCACCAACTCTAAAGTTTTCCCAGTTTACCAAATGCAGGATTTGTAGAATATATCAATGTTGCCTCTAGGTAAACTTTGTATGAATGCTTCCAAGTTAAACTCACACCCATAAACTTGCCACCTTAGAGCTTGATTAATAACAAGTTCTGCTCTTTTCTTGGCCAAACTGACTTCAAGAAAACCACAAAAATATCGAACTGAACAGCACCCAAAACAATGCAAATTAAACTTAGAAGATGGTTCTAGTACATTAAAGAAAATAAATCAATAACCTTAGGTTTCAAATTAATAAGAAATATTGAAAGGCTTGAATTTCCCAACATACTTTCGTATGTTTCTCTCTTCTTTGTGTTTACTTGATATTTTATTAAAAAAAAAGTGATAGACTTATAGTTATAGTTAGGTTTAATTTATCAATAGTCAAGCTTTTATTCCTTAGAAAAATATAAGTCTAAGGTTTGAACATTTCCCTCCCTTTGACTTCTCTCATTTATGCTAAAACTTTTAAATTTAATGATATATTCAAGATAAAATCTTACTGCTTGACCCTGATTTATAATGCAAGTACTTCACAATGATCTATCAGCCGGGTCATGCATACATTTTTCATATTTATAATTTTCATTATCGAACTCATGTATCTATTCCACTTTTTTTTTTTTTATGAAAAATACATAAAATAGTTCAGTGTAATTTTTTGGCCACTATATATGTTATCAAATTACAAACCATCATTCTATCCGATGATTTGGTTTTGGAAAATTCACTTTTGAGTAGATTTGACAATTTGAGTACATGAGTCAAAATAAAATATTGATAATTTGTGTATTCGTGTAATATTTTAATAATACAAAAACATAAAATATATATTTTTAATTTTTTTAAATATGTATATGGGTTTTATTAAAAATTTAAATTATATTATCTTTGTATTTTTATTTTATATTATTTTTATATCGTATTATATTATGTCGTATTTTAAACTATCAAGTTTCCTTTTGACCGAAGAAAATTTGGTTAGCCATGAATGTACTTGATGTTGAATTCAAAGATATTGCAGCAACATTTGAAACACGTGATATACATCATCTAAAAGAAAACATTATGGTTTGAAGCCAAAATCTCTACTTCGATCTCACCTTACCCTGACCACTTGAGCTGAGCAGCACATCATTTAGTTTTTCAACATCAATAGTATATCTCTCCTGGTTCAAAATTCTAATTCTATGACAGTTAATTTTCTTTCATACATGTACACCTGTAGAAGCCGATTAATTTTTTAGAGTAGATGACAATTTCCTTGAAAAAAAATTAAAGAAATGCAAAATAATGTATAAAACAGATTAATTAAGTAAAAAATAACTAAGCTCACCAATCACCATGGCAGAGGATCAACTTAATTACAATTTCCACTAAAGCTAGGGTTCAGCATGACAAAATTACTTCTAGTTTTACATGCATGACACTTAAAAACCATGAATATATATTTTTTTTGAACAAAGAATTTTAAAATTTAATTTTCTTCTTAAAAGAACTAAAACTTAAAGGAAAAAGGATAGATAGATATATAACATGTTAAATACAAAATTCAACTAGAATTGAGAACTATTAGCTGATGATTTTTTTCTTCCAAACATTAACTCACTGATCATGTATATGTACTGATCATCATGAGATTGTTTGTCCAGGGTATTGTTGAAATTATTACAGATGCGGTTGATGTCATTTCTCAAAATAAACCATGAACTTAAACCATGATCATAAGCAAATATGGATTCATGATTCATCTAGACATTGTTGAATTTTTGCCTTAATCACTTAGCTTTGATTTAACGTAAAGAAAAATAAGTAACTATACATGTTTCTGAGCGAAAAACCATTTACCTATAATGTGAGTAGATATATGAATACAATTATTTTAGTGTTAACTAAGTTTAAAAGACGATTATCGGAATGAAAATTGGCATGCAATTGATCAATCGTTTGATTGAAAATCTTAAATATCTATATCATGAAAATTTAATTAAATCCAACTATCTAATAACTCACTCAAACATTTAAAAAAACCAGCCATAAAAAAAAATCAAGTGATCAACATATGGATTAAGAGAATAAAAGTTAAAACGACAAGATATACTTGAAAGGGAACAATAGGAGCAAAGAAATGTAGTATTGGAGGAAGTTAGTGATGATTTTAATAGCATATATATAATATAATTTACATTGCAAATAAAATTAAAAAAAAAATTCATATGGTACCTAATTATTTTACTTCATGCATGATATAATACTGGTGACAAAGTACAATAATTAATATAGAATATTGAGCATGAGCTCAGTGTATTGTCTGCTTTTGATTAGATAATTGCTAAGATAAGGAATCAAATTAAGAAGCATATATATTAGCTGAAACTGCGAAAAGGGAAATTAACTCTAATATGTAATTAATTAAAATTTTAAATGAGCAAACCAAAGCTAAAAGGCATGCCAACAGAACAAAAACAATGGAACGGTGCATGCATGCATGCTGAACTCCTCAAAATAGATAGAACAAAGCTTCTTCATCTCCGTTTTGTATAGGTTAAAATTCATATATATATATTCACGGAGAAAGAGGGAAAAAATTGCAGTGGGATGATAGAAATCATAGGAAGTAAATTAAACTACTCAAATATTTTGGTTTGCTAATTTCTATAGAAGATTATAGAATTAAGGGCTGATACATTTTAATTAGACACTAAAAATAATTAATTGCATTTAGGTGCAACCATACAAGTAAAAACAATGCTTCCTTACAACAAAGAGTTCTACGCATAACATTAACACAACCCAAGAAATGAAAGGAAAAAAAAAAATCACAATGCATAAAACTATAATGAAACCTATCATTTCTATTTCTTTTTCCTTTAAAAATGATAGGGTAATCAAAACCATCTAATTTCAATATGCATCTATAAATTTGTAACTTTGCTAAGGCCGGTGATGCTGGTGATGATTGTTGAAAGAGTTTTGCTCGTTCCCAAAGGGAACCATTGAAGACATGATTTCAGCTTCCCAAATGTTGCCATGACTCATGAAGTTCTGATCAGCAGATGCTGCATCTGCTACCACATTATTAGGTTGCGGCTGCGGCTGCGGCTGTTGCTGCTGATTGACAAACAAGTAATTGTCATTAATCAGAGAATCCAGAAATGAAGAGAACATATCTTCATTGTAGTTTTCAATATAATCTCCTTCATTTCCATGGCTGCTGCTCGGTTGCCCCATGATATGAGTAGCACTAGCACCCTCAGCATTATACCAATTTGCCATACTATTATCAACAACATGTTGGCTTTGATATTGCTGATGATTTTCCTGGTTAGTTGGTTTAAAATCTTGGGTAGTAATGGTAATAGATTTTTCTCCTAATTCGGAAGAATTAGAGTGTGGGGGGTTAGGGTGTGATTTTGGGACAGGATCATGGTTAGCCTGTGATGAAGCATGGCTAACAAGGTTCAGTGGTTTATGGGTTCTTGGATCTATTCCTTGACTGATTAGCTTCTTGCTCAGATGGGTGTTCCAGTAGTTCTTTATTTCATTATCTGTACGCCCTGGAATCCTCCCAGCTATCAAAGACCATCTGAAAATTCAAAGTTTAAGAACCCAAAAAAGGATTAAAAAAGGTAAACGAAAAAACCCCATTAATGAAACATTCAAACTTGAAAGAAACCCTAAAACAAATGAAAAAAACCCTAAAAAACTAACAAATCTAAACATGATCTCCAATTTTGATAACGTATACACGACCCAAAAAAATTAATCTATATCAGCACGTTCTTAACTTAATTGTTTTGTAAATGATTAATTTATACAAATCTTCATGTTTAATATATTTAGAAAGAGAGCTGCACCATAGAAAAAGCAGAGAAAACTAAACCCCAAAAAAATTAACTTCTATGAAAGCTGATCTTGTATTTTGAGATGTGAATTGTTATTATATTGTAAGCAGGATCGAGCTACCTGTTTCCTAGCAAGCGGTGAAGCCGAAGAATGAGATCTTCTTCATCAGGAGCAATACGACCTCGTTTAACAGATGGTCGGAGATAATTCATCCACCGGAGACGACAACTCTTGCCACATCTAAGCAATCCAGCTCGTTTAGGCAGCGTCCGCCACCTTCCTTCGCCTTCTCTTTTGATATAGTTGGCTAAGACTTCATCTTCTTCCGGCGTCCATGGCCCTCTCTTTATCCCTACTTTGCTGCAACATGGTGTGCTCTTGCTTGTTGTTGATGTACCTAACAAACTTGGGTTCCTCATGATTTCTTGAAGTATGACCCTTTTCTGAATTTTTCGTTGGTTTTTTTGCTGATATGCGGTCACTTTCGGATTAGTTTTTTTTGCAGGGAAATGGAAAAGAGACGAAAAGTTTAGGGTTGTATATAACAGGAAGCAAAAGGATGAAAGATAAGAGAGAAAGTACTCAATGTAGAAAGAGACGAAGATGGCTAATAGCCTAAGATGGCTATGCCAACTTGTATATATAATAATAAGAAAATTTTATAGGGAAGAATTCGTTTTTGATAATTTCTCCAAAGGGAAAGAGTTTTTTTTTTTTTTTAATTGTTTTTGTTTTAGATAGACGAAAACAAGGTAATCTTTGTTAATGGAATTTGAAGATGTTGAAAATAAGTAAATTAACTATGTGCAATTTATGAAATATTAGGAAACATTCCAATGATTGTGCTTGAAATTAGTCCTTTACTTTCTTATATATGCTCTCTTTATCTTTTTTTGTCTAGACTTTTAGTAGACGGTTAGCTTGATATTAGAGTAATAATTCGATTTCATATCGTATAAAATATTAATAATTTGTATATTAATAATTTATTATATATAAAATATATATATTATAATTCGTGTTGATAAAAAATATAATATATATTTTTATTAAATTTATATATAATTTTTGTTAAAATTTTAAATCGTATCACATTTATGACTCTTTTAATATTATTTTCATGTCTTATTATCATGTTATGTTTTAAATTATTAGGTCTAATTAATACATTAAAAATAGTAATTATTATTGAAACTAAAAATTAAATATGTTATTGACAAATCACATGATTGCTATTAAAATAAATATAATTTAGTCATTATAAATTATAAAAATAATATTACATATTTTTAAAAAATCAAATTATATTCAAAGATTTATTTTCTAAAAATTATTATCAAAATAAAAACTAATCATGTGATTGAAAATTAAACAATTTAATTATTTTTATAGTTTCAATAATTCATTCTTATGATTAAATATCAACAAAAAAAATTACATAAGATTTTTAATTGGACATTTTCTTATTTAAGTAAAAATGTATTATAGTATTATAAAAAAATTGTTTAATAATTATAATTAATTAATCATCACAGTCCAAAAAGGTGTTTACGATTTTTCTTTTTGTTCGTTTCAAGTTGTTCCAAAAATGGAGTAATAGATTTTTATTTATTTTGTTGTGATTTTTCTTTTACTAATTATTTGTTTAATTTTTTAGATACTTTATTTAATATTTTGATTGCATGCTAATTTAATATTAATTCGGATAGTCTGTAAGCTGGTAAGATTTTGAAGATTATGAATTTAAAAAATTTGTCCCGTAATTTTTAATTAAAGAAATAAAAATGGAGAATAAAAGATAAATTAAAAATTTTAAAAATATATTTCGATCGCATGGTTAGTGTACAATGACGTGTTGAAATTCTAAACCTTTTACTGTCAAAAAAGTTAGGGACAAGTGCCGTCCTTTTCTTTTGTTTAGCCTTCTGGTTAAGGAAAATTCACTGTCCTGAGAATCAAGTCATTTGCCACGTGGACGAATAGATTGCTTTTTCAAATCATGGGCCCACATCGTTCTGGTAGGTCGGACGGCTTGAAAGGACTTGCTTTAAGAACAAAAAATGTTGTGTAGAAATTTTGTAATTTATATACTTTGTTGGACTAAATAAAAATTGTACATACCTTAGTGGATAATGTAATTTTATCTTATCCAAACCAGTGGATCCCACATTCGGGCCAAAAGATAATTTAAACTCGAATTAAAAACTCATATATATTTGGAAAGAATGAAATTTGAAGCTGGTCACCATTTTGAACAGCACACATGGGATAATTTTGGATCATATGTTTATATATCAAATAAAAATTTAAAATAATCGTTGTTAGGTGTAAAGATTTTAATTTTTTATACTAAGGAATTTATATTGGGACCAACGCTCTTAATTTTTTTATTTATTCTGTTAAAATTTTTTTTATCTATTTTCAAACTTCTATTTTATATTTATTTAATTGAAAAAATTATTAAATATATTAATTCTTCAAATATTTAATTTTTAAGTATCAAATTTTTTTTAGTTCAGATAATGGCATAATCCTTATAAGAAAAAAATTTTAATTCAAAACCAAAATTTTTATATCTTCCTAAAACTTCTTTAACCATTAGATCCAAAAATATTATAAGGAATCAGCTAACAACTTTTTTATAGTTAATCTTTTTTTTAGTATATAAAATATTTTTAATTTATTTTGGGGTTATAGTAAAAATTTCTGAAAAATATGTTAAACCTAAACAGATTTGGAGTTGTATTTGTATTTCCTAAAGGAGATTGGAAGTTGCATTTAATTTTCCTAAATGAATCGGCTACCCAATAACACAAACTACAAAAAGAGATTAATAAATTTCCAAAGCGGAAAGCAGCAGCTTCCGAGCATTAGGATGGAAAATAAGACGAAGACAACAAGGAGTACTAACTCTGCAGAGCAGATGGGCAAAAACTAAGACCTTTTGACGGAAATCCTCCTAAAATTACGTACAAAATCTCTCCTCAAATTCAAAGTCGTCTAGAAACAACGGATGCCTCCTATTTCCAGCAGCATTTTCAGCCTCTCCCACGTTTGATCCTTTTAAACCAAAGGCTTTCTCAAGCCCTCCGCTTTGTTTCTCGACGCCGATGTTTCTCCAACTTCAGAATCCGTCTCCCTTCCTCTGAATCTTGATAGCAAACCGCAAACGACGACTCCCGCTCTTTGATTTCATCGATGCCCCAAACGTCAAGATATTGCAATCTTGCACGTGCTTCCAATGATCAATATTTTATCTGTAACCCAACTACCAGGAAGTTCAAGATGCTCTGTTTTCCTAGTCCTCAGGGTTATCATCATGTTGTTGTTAATCTAGCTTTTGATCCTCTTAAATCACCTCATTACAAGATTTTTTCTGTTTGGCTTCGGGAAATAAAGCTGTTATTGGTTAGAAACCAAATGAACCCGAAGTTTTCTATTGACATATATTCGTAAGAAACTGATATTTGGAGTTCATCAAATGTCAAATTCACTTCGAATTGGGCTATAGATATCTATCACGGTGTTTTCTTTAATGGCGCGATTCATTGATACAGTGACCATGGAGAATCACAGTATCTGGATGTGGAGAATGAATGCGTGAAAACAATGCCTATGCCGATCGTAAACAATGTGGGATGTCGATATTCTGGGGAGTCTGGGTGCCATTTGAACCTTACCGTAGCATTCAAGCCAGGTCTTTTAACGTTTAGTGTTTATGCGATGTTGGGGGTTTATTCAGACTGGTACTTGGAGTACAGCTTAAACCTTGAAGCTGAAATGCAGACCCTGATCTCCAGGCAATGTTTATGGTCAGATCATGTGTTTTGTGGAGTATATCTTCTGTTTTGCACAATTCAATCTGAGGAAGAAGGGGACTCAATGTTTGCAGTGTTTCCACACGCAAAAACAATATCTTATAACTTCAAGAATGGCACATTGAAAGCGCTACAGCTTCAGTGTCTCATTACAGGCAGACATGCACTCAATTGTAGCTTTAGTTTTGATGATGCACTCTCGTAATTATATACTATCAATGAATCAAATAATATCATTTTGTGGTAACTGATTAATGACATATAAGGTGGTACAAGGATTTGTTAAATCGTACAGTTTGAAACAGTAAAGAGGGGGAAATGTGAAGGTTTTCAACTTATTTTTCAGGGTCAATAGATACATTGTTAACAATGCACAGTATTGTTGTCATATTAAAGTACATGTGAAGAAGACCAAAACAAAGGTCTAGAAGGGGAGGAAGGCTGATCGATGTTGAAAACAGAGTTTTCTACATGTGAAGAAGGCTGGCTATTCTTATTTATCAGTGTAGTAGGTACTAACTACAGGATTTGCTTTTCCCGGTCAGGCCGAGCTCGAGTAACACCCTACTTCCGTAGTTCGTCACCTTACTCTAGTTAGTATTATATATATATATTTGCTGAATTATTATATATAAAATGGTTTTTAATGTATTAAAAAATATTTGTATATAAAAAAAATATCACGAGCTCTAAATTTAATATAAATGATCAAGTTTGAGCTTAGCGATGGCAACGGGATGAGTTTTTATTTTCCCCGGCTTCAACCTGATTTCATAAAATAATATATATTTGAATATGATTTGATTTGATATTAAAATAATATTTTTTATATTTGATTTGATTTGATTCGAATATACATAACACTTAAATTGATTTGATTAGAATTGAAATTAATTTAATAATTTAAATTTAATATAATATTCAAAAAATATTCTTTAATATAAATTATGTTTTAATTATATATAAATATAATATTTTTTTAAATTAATATTTTAAATTAAAATATTAAATACTAAATTTATTAATATAATATTAAGCAATAATAAAAAATATTTATATATATGTCCGATTAGGGTGGATTCATTTAAAATGTGATTCCGACTCATATTCAACTTTTTTTTTTTATTAAATTTCAATTCAATTGGATCCAATATTTGATTTTTTAAAATCTTTTAGACCTTATAAAGTTGAATTCAATCAAAATTTGACAAGTTCGAGTATATATTTTATCCCTACTTGGAGCTTGATTAAACTTGTTTCACTATTTAAGAGGATCAAACTCAAATAGGTTTTTTTTTTAGGAGTTGAGCATGTGTTAGAAAAATGGAATCCGATACCCTCGCATATTAGTTAGTGTAAGGATGATTTTTTTTTTCTTGTTAATAGAGTTTAGATCATGTAAAAACATTTTAGAAGCAAAGTTTTAAATGTATCATAACATGGATAAGAGAAAATATTACGGATAATGTTACTAAAAAAAAAAAAAAAAAAAAAAGAAACTAAATGAGCGCAACCTTTTTAACTGTTGGAACTCAACTCGATGATTAATAAATCATCAAGCAACAATTTAGTTGTTGGGCCCTATAGTGTGTCAACGATGCCCATTGGAGACAATGGTATGGGTCAAGAACTGAGAAAAGGTGAGTAGTTGGGGTTGGGCTGCAAACGGCATTAGATATAAATATTCTTGAGTAGCTTTTAACTTTGCTCAACCCATCCAACCCGAAGCTGCCTTCAACTTTACACCTCAAATCAACACAGAAGACTTGTAGTGGAATACAGAAGTTGGGATTCCTGAGCCACCAAACCATCATTTTTCTCAAATCAGATAGCAAAAAAAGACGGGGCATAACATGATAATCTCAGTGGAGGCTCCTGATGACCAAAACCACTTTCTTTTCTGTTTTTTCGAACATGATACTGAAAGATGCTTATCTAAGGCCCCTTTCATCGATTTGCTCTGACGCTGGACCCTCTTGTCTTTTTATTCTTTTATACTTCTTTGTCATCTTTTTTCACTAACAATAATAGCTTTTCTTTTTACCCCAAAAATTCATTCTAAAATATCTCAAGTTCTAAATTATAATACTTTCTATATCTTTTTTTTTTTTTAAGATATTTCAAAATTATGTCTTATGTCTTATTTTTATTTTTTATATTAAAAATTATTAAATTTTAATTTCAGAAAAATATTTTTAATTTCTAATATTAAATATATTAAAATCAGAATTTTATTTTTAAATTTTATAAAAATTAATATATAAAAATTATTTTTAAACAAAAAGAATAATGAAATACCCTCGATTTTTCATTAACTGCATCCTTTTGTACTGAAAATTGGTACTATATATATATATATATTTCGAGAAAAAAGCCAGAATTAAAGCTTTTGATAAATTTACATCATAATTTAGCAGTTGGTATAAATAAAATAGTTTCTATTTACAGTGTTGATCATTTGATAATATATGGTGGTCGGTAAGACTAATTTTTAAAACCTCATCCACTTCTAATACAAAACCAGAACATAAAATTTTTAAAAAATTAATGGATTAAATTTTGAATTTTTTAAAATTGTATTAAGTAATCAAAATAAATTTTTTTAAAAAGTTAAATATCAAAAGTATAATTGTTTTTAATTTTTAAAAATTTTAAATTTATTATATCACATCATAGTATAATGTCATGTAATAATGTATCATTACGACATCAGCATATTATTTAAGACTAATTATTAAACAATAAAAAAGAATGATACAAAGTTAGTGATTAAATCATAATTTTTCAGTGATGAAAATAAAAAATAGCCTATTGTTGGTGATTAATTTTATAACCTCAAACGGGGCTGTACGTGGCAGAATGTCATTGAATATAGAAAACAATTGGAGAGAAACGAAACTTACAGGAACTACGTCAATTTTATGCGTTTAAAATTCTCCGCTCGTAAACCCTCAATTTCCTTTTCGTTCTCTCTGCCCTCCTTACATTAGGAGGCGCCGTGTAACCCCTCCTCCAAAAAAAAACTACCTCCAAATTCTCTTTCTTCAGAAAACCTAAAATCCTGAAACTCACCATGGCCACCGATCCAACTCAGCTCCAACTCGCCCATATCTTGGGCCCTGACCCGACCCACTTCGAAACCCTCATCTCCCACCTCATGTCTTCCTCCAACGACCAACGTTCACAAGCTGAGTCGCTTTTCCACCTCGCTAAAGAAACTCAACCTGACTCACTATCACTTGCGCTCTGCCGAGTCCTATCTTCATCCCTTCGTCCTGAACTCCGCGCCCTGGCCGCCGTTCTCCTCCGTAAAATCTTAACTCCCGCCCCTGATTACTCAATTCTCTTTTCACAACTAGCTGAAACCACACGTGACAGCATCAAATCTGCACTTTTATCCTCTCTCCAAACCGAACAATCGAAAACTAACGTTAAAAAACTCTGCGATACCATTTCCGAACTTGCTTCTTCGGTCGCTTGTATTGGAGGCTGGCCGGAATTATTATCTTTTCTGTTCCAATGTGTGAATTCTACGAATTCGAATCTTGAAGAATCGGCTCTTTTCATCTTATCTCGATTAGCTCAGAACAGTGGAGAAATAACCGAAACCCTAATCCCTCATTCAAACACTCTCCATTCCGTTTTCTTCAGATGTTTATCCAATCCTTCTAGTTGCGATGTTCAGATAGCAGCTTTAAACGCTTCAGTGAGTTTTATTCAGTGTCTTTCAAACGCTAAAGATCGCGACGTTTTCCAAGATTTATTGCCATATATGATGCAGACCTTGACGGAGGCGTTGAACTCTGGATTAGAAGCCACGGCTCAGGAGGCTTTGGAATTGCTAATTGAATTAGCCGGGACTGAGCCAAGGTTTTTAAGGAGGCAAATAATGGAAGTAGTCGGATCAATGTTACAAATTGCAGAGGCGGATAGTTTAGAAGAAGGGACACGTCATTTAGCAGTTGAATTTGTTATCACCTTAACAGAGTCAAGAGAGAGGGCTCCGGGGATGATGAGAAAATTACCGCAGTTTATAAGAAGTTTATTTGGGGTGTTAATGAATATGTTGGTGGATATTGAGGATGAACCAGATTGGTATGATGTAGAGAATGAGGATGAGAATGTTGGGGAAACAAGTAATTATGGAGTTGGTCAAGAGTGTTTGGATAGATTATCAATTTCTTTAGGAGGTAATACGGTTCTTCCGGTAGCTTCAGAGTTGTTTCCAGTATTTCTTGCTGCTGGGGAGTGGCAGAAACGGCATGCTGCTCTTATTGCGCTTGCTCAGATTGCTGAGGGTTGTTCCAAGGTTTGAGTTTTGAAGTTACAAGTCATTAATTTGATTATATTTAATGTGTTTATATGTTTGTTCTGGATTGGGAATTGTTTTCCGGTTCTTATTATTTTATCTATTTTGATAAAATTGTAATATGCTTCATTGTTTCTAAATTTTGGTTATATTTTCTTTTTCTTGGCAGGTTATGATAAAAAATCTAGAACAGGTAGTGTCAATGGTTTTGAATTCATTTCAGGATGCCCATTCTCGAGTTCGATGGGCAGCTATTAATGCCATTGGTCAGTTGTCTACGGACTTGGGCCCGGAGTTGCAGACTCAATATCATTACAGAGTGTTGCCTGCATTAGCTGGAGCCATGGACGACTTTCAAAATCCTCGTGTGCAGGTTTCTTCAATATCATTACATTCCATATGTCATAATGATTAAATAATTGTTTCTGGACTTTTACTTTATTGTCTAATTAAAATCATTTTGGATTGATAACTTATTTAAATCTAAAATGAGTTTGTTTTATTATCTATTAATGTCATATAAATTATAAAATATGCTACAAAAAATTTGAAATTTTTATCGTTACTATTTTCTCCCTCTGGCAAAAAATAAAAAGAAAAGATAGAAGAAGAATTTTTGTTTCTTTTAATCTGTTTTGAAGCATAATATTTTGGAAATGTTCTCCTGAATTAATGATGTCTTTCTGAAGCAATATGTTATCTTTTTTCATCAACCTTTGTTATCTGATTTCTTTTTTTAGCTGTAAAATAATTTTGTGCTTTTATATTTGTTCTTCTGTGTGTAATATAGGCCCATGCTGCTTCAGCTGTCCTTAATTTCAGTGAAAATTGTACCCCGGACATCCTAACTCCATATCTGGATGGGATTGTGAGCAAACTTCTTGTACTCCTTCAGGTATATAATCTTTCACTCCTTTAAGTTTTTGGTACTCCTTCAGGTATATAAGTTGGAGAACACATCCCAGCTTGTTACTTTCCTGTAAAAGACCTTGTTAATTCCTAGAAATTTGAAAATTAAATGGTTTATATCTTTAAGATGGGCAAATTTTTGTTGTAAAATATTGAAAAGTTTTAGAATGAGAGAAAGCTTAGAAGGTAGTAGGAAAAACACTTTTCTGCAATGTGTCAAAATAAACATGTTGCATGCTGCTTTTGTAGGATTTGGATGCTCTTTTTTGCCCTTAGGTTCATCAATAATCATTGATCAATTTATCTAGACATGCTTTTGCTTTCCTTAAATGTCAAAGAATTTAGTTTAGAATACATGATAAAAATGCTTAGAAATTTCTTTATCTTTCCATGAATAAGCTCCTTTTTCATTGGAGGATTTTTCAATTTAATTTACCTGTTTGCTTGTTATCCTCACCTTATTTTGCTCTTCAGAATGGGAAGCAAATGGTGCAGGAGGGTGCTTTGACAGCTTTGGCATCAGTTGCTGATTCATCTCAGGTACTCAAAGGCTTCTAGGATATTCTCAGTTTTACCGTTTAAGTTTAAGCGCTTTTATCTGACATGGGATGTTTAATAACAGGAGCAATTCCAGAAATATTATGATGCTGTGATGCCTTACTTGAAAGCTATCTTGGTTAATGCAAATGATAAATCAAATCGCATGCTTCGTGCCAGAGCTATGGAATGCATTAGTCTGGTTGGCATGGCTGTTGGAAAGGGCAAATTTAGGGATGATGCTAAACAGGTAATGGTTAATGACTTGGTTTTTATTTTGTAGTTATAATCTAGGTTGTCAATTATTATTCTTTATAGTAGGCTTGGACAACCTTGGGATCCTTTGAAAGTGAAACTGTCAAACAAAAGTCTTGTTCAGTTTTTGAAAGTGTTTCCAATTTCTGTCTCTATCTTTTGATTTGTATGTGTTCAATGAAATATTTTGGATACCTTAAACAAGAGCTTTGGAATCTAGATACTTAACTTATAATATCTTGTTTCATCGGACATATTTTGAGTAAAATGTGGAGATAAAAAATAGAAACATTTTCTAACATTCAATGTGCTTTGACCTTTTCCAATATCGATAATAAACCATTGCTATTCAATGTTCCAATTATGGGCATTTGTTGTCAAGTTAGGAGTTTTCAACACTCTTTCTTGTTCTCTTGGAAAACCATTACAGCTAAAGTAGTCTATTGTCTGAGAGAGAGCATTTTAGACCCTATGCAATGCATTTACTCCGTAAGTCCAAATTTTTTCATAATGATTGAATGTCCTTTGTGAATAAGTTTTGTTTAATAACAAGCCACATGAAGAGACTTTGGGGTAGATTTGATATACTTCTCTTCAAGGGATTGAGTGTTCTTGGGCAGGGATTAAGTTATTGTATTTAGTTTGATCTTGGTGAACAACTGATATTTTCTGTGTTTTGCTGAGGTTCAATTGGATTTCTTGTGGTCCATGGTGTGTATTCTCGTTGCCTAAATATTAACTTTTTCACTGCAAGGTTATGGAAGTCTTAATGTCATTGCAAGGATCCCAAATGGAGTCGGATGATCCAACAACAAGCTACATGTTACAGGTATGTTCTGAAATTTAAAGAAACAACATGGATAATTGAATTATATTGTGCACCTTTCATGTATTGACTGCTTTTGTGGGGTGGAACTTAATTTTGTAGGCTTGGGCCAGACTTTGCAAGTGCCTTGGACAGGATTTTCTTCCTTACATGAGTGTTGTCATGCCTCCTTTGCTTCAATCTGCTCAGCTTAAGCCTGATGTAACAATCACATCTACAGATTCTGATGATGATATTTATGACGATGATGAAAGGTTTGCAATTTGTTTTACATGTTCTTAACTAGTAAATTTAGTGGATTGGTTTGGATGTCTGTTTATATTTTTGTTAACTTATTTCTTCTCCTATTTGCATGTAAGACTGTTAATTCAAATTCAAAGTGATAAAAAGATGTATGTATTTTTTTTTACCTTGTCATACATAAGTAACATAACTGTGCAGTTTGCCTTTTGAGTTGTCTAGAAATTAGCTTCTAGGATATCAATAGAAATAACAAGATGTGTTAGTGAAATGCTTTTCTTAAATAACTTTTTTGTCTTTTAACAGTACCTTCACAATGATGTTTCTTTTGAATTTTAAAGTGTCTAAGATATTTATTTCCCACTATTTGTGTTGGCTGCAGCATTGAGACGATTACTCTCGGTGATAAAAGGATAGGGATCAAAACTAGTGTCTTGGAAGAAAAAGCTACAGCTTGCAACATGTTATGTTGTTATGCTGATGAGTTGAAGGAAGGATTCTTTCCTTGGATTGATCAGGTTTTTTTTTTTTTTTGACATTTTATATTTTAGCTTTCTGTGAGAACCTAAGTTCTAGGTTACCAAACTGCTTGAGACACTGCAGGTTGCTACTACTTTAGTTCCCCTTCTAAAATTTTATTTTCATGAAGAAGTTAGGAAGGCAGCTGTTTCAGGTATGACTTTGACGTTTTGCTCCTTTTCCTTTGTATCTTTTCCTTTATTGCCTCACCTGCATTCTTGATGGTATCTGTCTATTTTGTTTAGCCATGCCGGAGCTATTACATTCAGCTAAATTAGCTGTTGAGAAAGGGCAATCTCAAGGTCGAAATGAAACATATATAAAACAGTTGACTGATTACATAATACCAACTCTAGTGGAGGCTTTACACAAGGTCATATGTTCTTTTGGGGTTGTCATTTAGTCCTTGAATGATACACATGGTTTCTACTTAGTATTTTGGCATTTATGGTTATGTTGATTTTTTTTCCATTGTTAATTTGCTTGCAGGAGCCTGAGGTAGAAATTTGTGGGAGCATGTTGGATTCATTGAATGAATGCATACAGGTTAGTCTCATCCATCATCGGCTCGGAATATGCGACTTTGTTTGCATATGTTTTTATGTAGAACTCTTGATGTATTTGAGGGAAAACATTTTTTTGTAGTCGTTATCACATTTGAACTATTTCTGATTTTTTTTTGTTTTTTGGTTTACTGGGCCTTACTGCAAGTAAAACTTTGGTGGATATTCATTAAGTTTCTGAGGTGGTGATATCATGACTAGAAGAGAGTTTTATATGCTATTTCTTTTGTATGAATGGCTATCTCTGTCAGCTTTTACTTGCCTGATAGTTTTGCCTTTAGGATATACCTCAATGGCACCTATGATCAATTATCCAGCTGATTTTTTGAAGCCATGAAAATTTTGTCCATTCCTTCCAATGTTTGCCGTGCCTTATTCATTTTATTGAATGTGCTAGCCTTTCGAGAAAGAGAATTGAATGATGAAGTGATTCAGTAATTTGGAATTTAACTACTTATTGTCATTGTAATTTAAAATAGCTGAGCATGCTGAATAGCTTAGCTTACTCTTGATGGGATTGTGATGTATTTTCCTTAATATGTTGGTTACTGATGGTTGTGGAGCAGTGAGATGAAGCAGAAGGATGAAAGATTGAAAGCAATAAATATCTCCTGTCATTTGAATTATTGTAATAACCATCATGTAAAGAGTAAAATAATACTTCAAAACATCATGAAGGTGCTACATAAGTTTCCAGTGATGTTTTTCTAGCTTTTTGTGCAATTGAGTGCACAAGTTTGTTTTTTCTTTGTGGTGTTAAGAGATATTCTACCATATACATCTACTAATTATGCCTAATTTTACGATGAAAAAATTGATAATTTGGCTTGATTTATTTCTATATTTCTTTTTCCTTTTTTTGGTTTTTGTGGTAGTTTGTTCAATTCCTGCTGATGACTATTTTCTGATCTTTTAAACTGAGATTTGTCATGGACCATCCCTTCATATTTGCTTTCCCCTTGGAAGAAGTTGAGCTTATGATAATGCACTCTTTCTCTCTGACAGATTTCTGGACCGTTTCTTGATGAGGGCCAAGTACGGTGCATTGTTGATGAGATTAAACAGGTGATCATAGCTAGCTCAGCTAGAAAACGAGAAAGAGCAGAGAGGGCTAAAGCAGAGGACTTTGATGCAGAAGAAAGAGAAATGCTTGAGGAGGAAAATGAGCAGGAAGAAGAAGTTTTTGGTCAAGTATGTTTCTATTTCCTAATGGATTTTTGGTTCTCAGTTGAACTATATTTTGGTACTAGGTTTTAATGCTCTCATCTTTGTTTGCTTTGTATTTCTTCTCTTGATTAAGGTTGGTGATTTGTTGGGCACTTTGATAAAAACATTCAAGTCATCCTTCTTGCCTTTCTTCCAGGAGCTTACATCTTATGTAACCCCTATGTGGGTGAGTTCTTTGTCCTTATTATATTTCTTGTTTAAATGTGCGTGAATTTGTTTTTGTGGAGCAAATGTTCTAAATAATATCAGCCCTGTTTCCTTGCTTTCTCCTCGTTGTATTAGAGAGAAAAAGACAAATCCAGACTTATGACTGCATCAATAAGGTGTTAAGCCTATGACTAGCTTATTAAATTTATTGATTATACAGGGTAAGGATAAAACAGCAGAAGAAAGGAGAATTGCCATCTGTATATTTGATGATGTTGCAGAGCACTGTCGTGAGGCAGCTCTTAAGTAAGTGGTTTGCCACATAATTGTTATCAGAATGCCATTTATCAAAAGTCCTTTTAGATATTAATGGTGAATGTTGGTGGGACAGGTACTATGACACGTATCTTCCTTTCCTATTAGAGGCGTGCAATGATGAAAATCCTGATGTTTGCCAGGTTTGCAATCTAATCATTAGCAGTTGTCTTGTGCTTTAGTCTATCTGGATTGCATTGAAAATATATTTCCTCATTTTTCAGGCAGCTGTATATGGGGTTGGTGTGTGTGCTGAGTTTGGTGGATCTGTGTTCAAACCTCTTGTTCGAGGTAATTTTTCTCTTGCATTATTACCTTTCTCCTTTAGATTATTGTCTTATTAGCTTTAATAAAAGGGTAAATTATGATTTATTTTCATCTTTACAGAGGCCCTCTCCAGGCTGGATGCTGTTATTAGACATCCTAATGCATTGCATCCAGACAATGTTATGGTTTATGACAATGCCGTTTCAGCTCTTGGAAAAATATGCCAATTTCATCGGGATAGCATAGATGCTGCTCAGGTACTTGTATCATTGCATAATCTCTCTTGTTTGTATCCTGCTTGATTTTCGTTGAAATTGTTATTTTGTTCAATCTTTGCCCTTAATTTGTGGACTCTGGCTCATAATCCTATTGATGTGTCATAATTAAGATTTATGAATTATTATTTATTGGAGAACTTTTTCTCTGTATGGGTCATGATTTCAATTGCTAAGTCTTGTACCTTTGTGTTTTCCCTATAGTGATCTATGGTCCATCTTCAATCGTGAATGCACTTCTTAGATTTTAGTTTCAACCAATTTTATCTATCTAGGAATTTTTTAACCAGCTAAGCTGAAAAAGGTGGAGTTCTGCTTTTCAGGAAATTTCTAGGAGATCAGTTTTAGACATAAACAGTTATTTTAAGGTTCAAGTGAGATTGGATTTGCCTTTTGCTTTGGGTTCTTTATGCTACATTTCCCAAGTTTATGGCCTTGCTAATAAAAATTTTATCTAGCAACCTACTTTTGTCTGGGATAATTGCTGTTTCAAGTCGAGGTCTTGTTATTAAGTTAGCTATAAATCTAGCTGTGGACTTTCTGACCCATCTGTCTTTCTGTTTGGCAGATTATCCCTGCTTGGTTGAGTTGCTTGCCGATAAAAGGTGATCTGATTGAGGCGAAGTTTGTTCATGACCAGCTTTGTTCAATGGTTGAAAGGTAGGACTTGGAGTTATTGGAACATTCTGATAAAAGTTTGTTTCTCTGATCATTTGTTTGATTCCTTTTTCCTTCAACCTTGCTGGCTGTGCATTTTGAAAAACAATTGCTTCTGTTTTCAGGTCAGATCAGGAACTCTTAGGGCCCAACAATCAGTATCTTCCCAAGATAGTTGCTGTTTTTGCAGAGGTATCATCTTTACCATATTTTAGTTGCCCGTTTCATTTGCTCAGATTATCATTTCCGTCGTTATTAATTTCAAAATTTATGATATATAGGTTTTATGTGCCGGTAAAGATCTGGCGACAGAGCAAACTGCTAGTAGAATGATTAATCTGTTAAGGCATCTCCAGCAATCATTACCTGCGTCTACACTAGCATCAACCTGGTCATCCTTGCAGCCACAGCAGCAGCTTGCTTTGCAATCAATTCTGTCATCTTAGTTATGGCGCCGTTGATACTTTGATTTTGCTTTCGTGGGTAAAGCTTCTGCTTCCTATATTCTTAGCATTCTGCAAATTTTGGGTGGCCAAGTTTTTTTTTTTAAATTTTGTTACTATATAATTTTTGGTGACAGAAGGGAAAAAAGGAAAAGGGAGAGGGTTTACGTTAGTGTGTATAATGTTATTAGCTATTCATTGTCTTTTCAGGTTGAATATAGCAAAATTTTGGTATATTATAATAGAAAGGACTGATGTTGGTCCATTCCTTTGGCCAAAAAAGGACAGCAATGTGATTTTTGCAACAGTTTTGGTATGTATATTTTGTTTGAACGTGAAAAATAGTTTCAATAATAAAGTTATTTTCTCAATTTTTGGCATTGGAATTTTCTGTTTTCTGTTGTGTATAATTCTATTTTATTTTGGTATTCATAAAATGTGATTTAGCACTTTTAACACTTTGGGTTACACAAATAGGAGATAAGCGTCCTTTCATTTTATAAACTTCATCTCAGTATTTGAAAAGATTTTGAATTTTGCTGTGAGGGTTGCCCGACGTGTCATGAATACCAACTTGTGTTATTTTTATAACTTAAAAACCAAGTTTAAAGTCTAAAGAGATGCCTTGGAAGTACGGGCATCTTTCAATTGATAAAAGTCTATTTTTGTTAAGAAATATTAAAAAAACTGAAAGTGATTCAAATTAGATTTGGTAAATTTAAACATAATAAAATAATATGATATAAAAAAATAATATGATTGAAAATTAAAAAATTTTTATATAAATATGATAAAAGTTAATAAATATATATTATATTTGACGTATCAATATGAATTATAATATAATAATTTTTTTATTTTATATATATTTAATATGAAATAGATTTTTGAATACAAATGATATACTTAATATAAATTTAAACGAAAGTGAGATAATATCTTTCTTTCAAGTGATGTATTTAAAAATGTATATATTAAGCTTTCAACTCTTTTTTGGGTTAAAGATAATTATATTATTTGTAGATAAATTAAAAATAGGAAAATAGCATTTTTTTAATAATAATTAAGATTTATTAGATAAATTAATACAACATTTTAATAGTTAAACATAAAGATGAAAGCTATGTTATATCTGAATCATAAACTAATAGAAAAAATAACAAGAATATAACAATAATATAATACAAATAAACATCTTTTTTTATTTTTTTTTTGTGTTTAGTGATGTAAGAAGAAAGTTTAGAGTAATGACCAAATTGTCTAAAGTACGCAACGGCTTTTGAAACTTAGTTTTTGTGTTCATCTAGATTCTAGACGATCATCTACAGCCCTCCAAGTGGCAGTCTTTGGGAGCTTTCTGGATTCTTTTGTCTCATGTTGACTTGGTTTAGGGGATTAAGGAGGGCAAAGCGACAACGACTATGCTCCTTCCCCTAACATAGAACAAGTTGAGGATTGAGCATGCCAAAAGACATCATTTTTTTTTTTTTTTGGGTTTTGTTTCAAAATGGGAAGGTTGGAAACAGTTAAATTGGTTAAAAACCATCAAATTTAAAGTTTAAATTTTAATATTTATAATTATTTTATTTAAATTTTAATTAAAAAAACCAAATGTAGATTAAATAATACGAATCAAAAGGACAGGAAGGGAATATTGCCTAAACCATATTCTTTGTTTGATATAATATTAACTTGGTTGAATCAATTCGTGGACAAAATTTGCTCACTCCACCAAGAATGCTAATTTTCTCCGTTGTTGGATTAATGCTTTAAAAATCACAACTTGGGGGGGCAGATAAGACATTCCAACGAAAGTCAAAAGAAAGGTTAAAGTTACAAAATGAGTCTCCATTATAAAATAACAAATGGCATGAAATGACAAACACAATAAAACATAACACAGTGAATCCTGGGATAGTTAGCCAAATTGCTCATAGAAAACTCAGACCTTCTTTCAAACATATAAAATTAAATCCCCATTTTCTGTTGGCGACCAACCAAGTAGATGTAGACAGCCTCTTCTTTACCATTAATAGGTAAATATAGTTTCCCTAAGTCCATCTTCAATTTGTCTCTTAATCCTTCTTGTTCTTAATCCTACATTTTCTTTGTGCCTGGTGCCAATGGAAATTCAGTTCCAACAACAAAAGCAGCAGCAACTGCATCAAAAATCAAGCATTCCTGTTAGCAAAGGGAGCAAATTCAAGGGAAGAAATAATAAAAGCAACAATAAGGTTAACAAGTTTGTTGGTGTGAGGCAAAGGCCTTCTGGTAGATGGGTAGCTGAGATCAAAGACACAACACAAAAGATCAGGATGTGGCTTGGCACCTTTGAGACTGCTGAAGAAGCTGCTAGAGCTTATGATGAAGCTGCTTGCCTTCTCCGCGGATCCAATACTCGAACAAACTTCATTACTCGGGTGTCCTTGGATTCTCCTCTTGCTTCTCGGATTCGAAATCTACTTAACAGCAAAAAAGGAGTTGAACAACAAAGTGATCTAGTCTCAACCCCCACAACAAGTACCATCACCACAAGTACTTTTAGCCCCTGCTCCAGCAGTAGTATTAGCAGTAGTAGTTGCAACAGTAGTGGAGGCTTAAGCAATGAAAGTTCTCCTATTGGAATGGTTCAAGATACTCAATTGTTTGCTGATGCATATAAACCTGATATGAGCAACTGCACAAGGGAATTTGGGTTTGCTTCTTCTCATCAATCGGATTTTTCTTATACCTCTCAACCAGGGTTTGATAGGTTTCTTTATACACAAGAAATCATGAATTTACCAAAGAATGTTCTTTTCCCTGAGGAAACAGGCTCTGATTTAACAGAATTCCAAAGGATGAAAGTTGAGAGGTCAATATCAGCTTCACTTTATGCAATGAATGGAGTTCAAGAGTATATGGAAACTGTCCATGATTCTGCTGAAGCCTTGTGGGATCTTCCACCATTATGCTCTTTGTTCTGTTAAGTGATAGATATGATTTTCATTTGATCTTTATTTCCATTTCTCCTTATAATTAAAATCAAGAGAGTAGATGATTAGGTTTTGTTGCAAGTTATTGCAAGGTTACAAGGGCAAAAAATAGCCAGAGATAAGAGACGATTTCCATTTTGTAAAATGTCAACATTAAAAAAAAAATAATAGAAAAAACCACATTGAGATGTCACACTATTCCTTTGGATGGTCTTCTCCATCTCTCAATACAAAGTCCAAGCAATCATACTGATTTAAAAATGCCTCTATCCCTCATCTTTCTAAATTCTCTCATTCTATATGTCTCTTTCTCTATCTGTGGAATTATACATATATCTAAGTGTCTGCACTGATACATATATCTAAATTTTCGTTAGGAACATGCATATATGATCAACCAAGGACAAGGTTCAAAAAGTTCTTATTTGTTCCCTTGATTTAAAGTCTTTCCTTTTCTATGCAAAAGGGAACCCTGATTTTGCAATTAGATTCTCAAGTAGACTTTTGTTGCCTAGCGATTGATGTGCGTCCTTAAAGAAGTTTGGGGTCTTCGGTTCGAGTCAGCCTGTATAAGCAGAAGATTAAAAAGACAGTAGATGGTGATGGTGTTTTCTATTTTGTATAGTCAACCAATGAATGAAAAGGAGAGAGGAAAAAATAAATATCAAGCAGGCTCCCACTTCATGTGGCATGGGTACTCTGAAATAGTCTCAAATCAATGCAAAAAAAAATCTCTAATATTGCTGTAATGCCAATCTCATTCAAATGGTCGTTAGATTTCAGTCCATTAATACATTGAACATGCCCTGCCAACAATGACACCTTTGAAAAGATGTTTCTTCTTGCTGCACTACCAACTACATTCTCCCTGAATTTAGTAATCCACCTTGAGGCTGAAATGAGAGGAAATTAAGCACCTTGGAAAATATCCAACCTTTTTTTTTTAAATGTTTACTCAACTGATTTCTTAAATGCTTAGAAAAATCTTGTTTTCTCATTGGTACAATTCCTGTATGGGTTTAAACCCTACTTGTATTCAATCATTCAAAGCTTCTGACTCCATTATTTGATCCCCACCTAACAGAAAAATGGGAACCCTTGGCTTTCTAGTTTCTATTTTTTACTGGTGTAACTTAAATTGAAGTCATGACCCACAAAATCAACTTCTTGATAGCATATTTTAAACTAATGGAGATAATGCTGATGGGGGGGGGGGGGGGGGGAGGAATTGCAGAAGCATTTATTTTCTTAAATCAAAAAGCTTTGATGACAAGGACATACCAAAGGCCACCCACATAGCAATGGTGGCCACCAATAATTGAGATGGAAGAGGATAAGGTCTGGATATGCCATCATCTATTTTCTTTAAAGAAATCATTCAATGAGTACCAATGGGTCCTACCAAAACAATTTTTATTACAGAATAAATTTCCCTGTGCTCTAGATATTTTCTGGATGCTCATCTACTTACTATATATAGACAAAATATTTCAGGGAAAATGGTACTGACTCAAATGAATTGCAAGTATTGGCACATGGCAGAAGCTTTATTAGACATTGCAAGAGGCCACAAATCATACGACGGAAACTATAAATTCTCACAAACTAAACTTAAAACCACTCGAGTGCAGAGCCAAGACAAAATGTTAGACAAATTCAAGAGATGAAGTACATGGACTAATGTACAACAATAAAAATAGCTGATGAAGTAAAATGAGAAGAGGAACATAGTAGACCAGTAGACTGCTTTTATGAAATATGGATCTAATAATCTTCTGGTTCTTCTTCATCCTCAGCACCTTCCGCCCCAACTTCCTCATAGTCTTTCTCCAGAGCAGCAAGATCTTCACGGGCTTCTGAGAATTCACCTTCCTCCATTCCTTCACCGACATACCAGTGAACAAATGCTCTCTTGGAATACATGAGATCAAACTTGTGGTCAATTCGGGAGAAAACCTCGGCCACAGCTGTGTTATTGCTGATCATACACACTGCACGTTGTACCTTAGCAAGATCACCCCCTGGTACCACTGTGGGTGGCTGATAATTGATACCACACTTGAAACCAGTTGGGCACCTGAAAGAAAAGATGCATCAAAATCATTCAGATAACAAACTGAAGGCTAACAGGCAAAATCGATGTTTTCCCCTTGTTAAACTCTATTTAAAAGTGATAATCACATTGCTTATATGGAATTATTAGGAGCTGAAATGGAAGAGATGTCTACTAACCAGTCAACAAACTGAACTGTCCGCTTAGTTTTGATAGTAGCAACAGCAGCGTTGACATCCTTAGGTACAACATCTCCGCGGTACATTAAACAGCATGCCATGTACTTCCCATGTCTTGGATCACATTTGGCCATCATGCTTGAGGGTTCAAAAACAGCACTTGTAATCTCAGGAACTGATAGCTGCTCGTGGTAAGCCTTTGCAGCTGAGATCACTGGAGCGTATGATGAGAGCATGAAATGGATACGAGGATATGGCACAAGGTTAGTCTGAAACTCTGTAATGTCCACGTTTATGGCACCATCAAACCTTAATGAAGTGGTCAAAGAAGAGATAATTTGGGATATCAAGCGGTTCAAGTTTGTATAAGTTGGCCTTTCAATGTCTAAGGATCTCCTACAGATATCATAGATAGCTTCATTGTCAAGAAGCACAGCAACATCTGTGTGTTCAAGGAGAGAATGAGTTGAAAGCACGCTATTGTAAGGTTCCACAACTGCGGTAGAAACCTGCACAATTGGGAAAATATTATAAGTGGATACTGTCTATAATAATTCTAGCATATGAGAAAAAGCAACCTATACTAGAGTAGCAACTAGAGCATCTTTATTATACTTTCCCTCAAAGTCTTCAAGGAATTCACCTGAGGAGAAGGGTAGATGGTGAAACCAAGTTTTGACTTCTTTCCATAATCTACAGATAAGCGCTCCAAAAGCAATGAGCCCAAACCAGAACCAGTTCCACCACCAACAGCATTAAATACCAAAAATCCTTGCAAACCGGTGCAGTTGTCAGCCAATTTTCTCACTCGGTCAAGGCAAAGATCCACAATCTCCCTACCAACTGCAGCATACAACACCAATGAACAAGTCTAAGCCAGTGATGAGATCTAATAGAATTGCTATTAACAATGCCAAAAAGATGCTTGTACCTGTATAATGTCCTCTAGCAAAGTTATTAGCAGCATCTTCCTTGCCAGAAATAAGTTGCTCTGGATGAAAGAGTTGTCTATAAGTCCCAGCTCTAACTTCATCAATGACAGTGGGCTCTAGATCAACAAATATAGCTCTTGGCACATGCTTCCCAGACCCAGTCTCACTAAAGAAGGTATTAAAAGCATCACGGCAAACACCAACAGAGGTGTCACTGCAAGCAAACACAAAAGAACTTTGTTAGGTTCAAATGAAACAATAGAAGGAAAAACCATAATTAGAGATCCATTTATAAATCTCATTCCATGTTTATATCCGTTTTGACAAACAAGACAAAAATTCAGGGCAAGAAAATTAATCAAATTGTTCAAAGTCCTTGCAAGAAAACGATAAAGCAGTGTAAAAATCGAGAGGAAATCTTTAAGAACATAACTGCATTAACTTATATGATAGGGAGAATAAAGGAAAACAGAGATGCTTTGTATTAGAATTATGTCAATTCATCATTGATTTAAGCAAATCATTTGAATTTCAGTACATAAAATTCAACCAAATGATCCAATTCCTGTCAGATCTTCATTTAGATCAGGCCAGGCAGCCAGCAATGGCAATTCCTCAAATGGTGTAAGATCAACAGAAAATCCTGCAGCAGCAGAGGAGATGGCTCTGTTGACTTCGCCATCTGAGCATAGTTTTAAGTCAAAGAATCAGGATCATATTCGTAGCCTTTCTGGTTTAGATCACAATATTACAAACGATTTAGTCCATAGCCAAAATGGACAGGAAATAGGAAATGAAATTCAAATAGAAAATTATGTTAATTTTATAACATTCACTTCACTTCACATCAAATACCCCATTTCCATGAAACAAAACTCACAACAAAAATCTTTCTAACACTACCAAAAGATTCACAAAAAAGAAAAAAAAAAACTTAACAAAAGATCTCATTCATGATAATGATGATGATGACATGATAAATGCTCACCTAGGCATCATCCCATCAGGCTGAATTCCATGTTCAAGGCAGTAAAGCTCCCAACAAGCATTTCCAACCTGAATTCCAGCTTGCCCTATATGCACGCTAATCACCTCCCTCATCTTTTCCTTCCTTCAAAACCCAAGTTTCAAACAAACCTCTCTCTTTCTCAACCTTTTCTCTACAGAATGGAAAAGTAGGAGAGAATGACGAAATGAATGAACGTTAAAGAAACAAAAGCATTCAGTGAGGGTATTAAAGAAACGGCAAAAGAAGAGGCTCGAAGATTTTTTGTTTAATTAAAGTTCGCTGTGGTCCCACCATTTGGAGCCAACTGCATGGTGGGGTTCAACCAGCTCGGCTCCCTTGTCGGTTCTCTCATGCTCCAACCCTTTGGCTGACACTTTTGATATTTTTCTCTTTTTCATTTTCATGATTAATAATAAAATATCTTCATTATTCATACCATATATTATTAAAATAATTCAAATCATAGTGTTTTCCTTTTTTTTTGTAATTTATTATTTTATTTATGTTGGAAAGTTAATAAGAAAAACAAAGTAAAGTAAGATTAAAATATGCATGGGAAAAATGCTTTTTCTTTTTTTTTTTTTAAAGAAAAAAATCTTACATCTCAAAATTTCTCTGTAAATAACTTTTTTTTTTCATGTTAATTAAATCCTACATGAACTTGTTACATAATTTTCATTGATTTTTGTTAAATGGGCCACATTTATTTAAAAATTGACAAATTCTATTACTTTATCACTGTTTTTATCACAATTGACATGTATGTGAAATTGGCATATTTATTGTGAAAGTAAATTATGCATACTTGAAGAGTTGAACACATTAATATATTTTTTTTGTCTCATATTTGTTTCATGTTTTGATTTTTTTTTATATTTCATAATTACATTTTTTTAATATCTAAATTTCTTAATTTTTATATTTTAAAATTTTTTTACATTAAAATTTATAATTATTAATTTTATAAAAATTTATTTTAATATTAAATATATTAAAATAACAAATTTTTAAATACCATAAAAATGAAAAACATAAATTTGAAAAAAAAAGTAATAATCTCTTAGGCCATAGGATGGTATGGCTTAAAAAGATCAAATCTTTCATTATTAGACTTACATAAATAATTATTTTTTTAATTGAAATTTGTAATTATAAAGATATTATTATGCCAAGATTTTATGGTGATTTTTATATCCTTGATTTTATGGGGTATGCAAATTATATTAATTAGCTTTAATAAGCAGTTTGTAATTCAATGAATGGAAGAGAATAATTTTAAAAAATTAAGGTGGCCAAAATTATTGAATACTTTGTATTTAGCTTCTATAAATAGTGACACTGAAGAGATGATCCTACAGCCTCTTGATACTAAGAATAATTAATCAATAAATTTTATGTGCGGATAATAATAATAATTGAGGGTGGTTGAACATATCATTATTAATTTAAAAGCTTAAGATTATATTAGTGGTTAGACCACAACTATCAATTTAATTAATTTATCAATCAATTTTATAATTTTTAAAATATTTTTTAATTTGGTGGGAGCAGTATTTGTTAAAAAAATTTTCGAATTTATCAAAGAGAAAAAAAAATAAAGAAGACATTGAAATTTAAATATCGAGACACACTTTACTCAAATTAGTAAAAGTATTTGAAAGGAAAAAAAAAGGTTAAATAAGAGAGGAAAAGAGCATTAAAAGAAGAGTAATTTGCATGTCTCTTGATATTTTTATCAAATTCTTTTTTTTTTTTTATATTTCATGAATAATTTAGATTGGAAGAGTCAATAAGGTGTCTTCCATGGACACCTCTATCATGAATATGATATTTTAAATTTAGATTGAATTCGAAATATTATTTTATTAATAAAATTTTTTATGTAATTGTAATTTTAAATTATAATTAAAAGCATTAATATAAAATAAATTTATAATATTTTTAAATAATAACAAATCCAAACGAACATTAATTTGAGTAGAGCAATCAGGGCCTTAAAATAAACATTTGCTTTGTCGTCATTTGATTTGACTCGATTGTTTCACGTTGGCATCACCAGGTCTCTGTAGGTAGCTAGGCTGTCTTCGTGTTTAAGTTGCACCAAATCTTGAAAGGTAGCCCTTGGGAGAGGGGGGTTGAGATGGAAATGTCTTTTGATAAGGTATATAGAGTTGGCTTTTGAAGAAACCCATTTTAGTTCAGATCCAGCCGAAAGATGGAGCTTAGTAGTGATTATTTGGATGTATGTCATATTTGGATAAGAGTCAGCTAATTTTTCTGTTTGGAATTTCAAGTTTGAAATGCAATTTAAGTTCTCGACATATTTTTATACTTGACATCATAATAGAATTCAATAGAATAAAAAAAAAAGTTATTAAATATTAATTTTTCATTGAATGGATAACAACGATAAATTATATTTAGAGCTAATCAAATTATCATAACTTGAATAAAATTTAATATGATTTAATTAAAAAGAATCAACAAATAAAATTTTTAATTTAAATTCAAAATTATTTGAAATTCAATTTGATGCAACTTGAACAATTAATTCGAACTAATTTAAATTTAAAATAATTTTGATTTTAAAAATAAATTATTTAAATTTAATATAATTTGAACTTAAAATAATTTAAAAATTTTAATCCAAAATAATATAATTCGAAGTGATCCAACCCATTCAATTTCATCTTCCCGCTGTATTAAATTTGAATTGGTACAAAAGATTACTACTTGCATATAATTAATCAAGATTTACAAGAAATATCGAGCTTAATTTTACAAAGTGGTTCACACTTTGCACCATTGGCCGACCAATTTGTGGCTTTGGGGAAATGCTAATACTACCAAATGAAAGAAAGAAAACTGGCAGCGCCCCCTGATTCTTGTGGAAAGTAAGTACATACTTATTCTAATATTTTCAATGTATAAAATATATATAACATTATGGATTTATCACAAATAAAATTTGTAGAAAGAAAGAGTCAAGAAAAGTACTTTTATAATTTATAGTGCTATAGAACTTTTTGTTAAAGAATTATTTACTTAAGTGTTAGAGTTGTGTGTATATTAATTATTATTTTTCTTTTGATATAGAAGAATATAATTAATTTTTTTTTTTATGTTTAAGGTTATTAAAATTAAAATTTTGATTATTTAAATTAAAAATTAAACTCTTTACATCATTATTGACGAATTAATCTTTTGATTAGAGGAAAAATCTTTAAAAATATAAAATATTTTTACTATAAAAAATCTTTAAAAATACCATAAAATCATTTCCTTTACACAACAAATGAAATTTAAGAAAATCCCATATGAAAAAATTACAAATGAATATAATATTTTTTGACAGCTTTATGAAACTTTTTTTTTTTTTACCAAAAACAAATTACTACTATTAACCAAAGGAACAGTGAAAATAAATGAAAAGAGGAAGAGAAAGAGAAACAGAGGAAACGGAGACGCGATAGTAGAAGATAAAGAATGGAAGGTGGTTCGAAAGGAACACTCAAAGCTGTGGCTCTCATCATTGGAGACAGCAACGTTAGAGGCTTTCTTCACTTCACTCAATTCCCAAACGGTTCTTTCTCTCTCTATTTTTCTTTCTCTTCTGAGAATTAAATTTTTATTATGTTTTATATGTGTTTGGCATAAAATTTTATGTAAATTTTTTTATGAATATAGGGATAACCCATGTCAAAGGAAAGATAACTGGTCTGTCCCCAGGCCTTCATGGCTTCCATATCCATGCCCTTGGTGATACCACCAATGGCTGCAATTCCACTGGTATCTGCCTCTCCTTTTAACTTTCTTATCCAATCCAGTTATCTTTGATTTTTTTTTTTTTTTACTTTTTGTTTGGCATGAAGTTTAAAATTTTAACATTTATGCAAAATTTTGTTAATTTAAGGTTGATGTCATTTAGTACTCGAGGGTATTTTTTCTTTGGTATGAACGAAGTTTGAATTTTTATCACTTGCGCAAATTTCTGTTAAATTTAGGTTGATTCATTAATCTCTAAAGTGGGTTTTTTTTTTCTCTGGTGTGAAGTATGAATTTTTTAACATTTATGCAAATTTGGGTTAAATTTAGGTTGATTCATTGATTTCTTAAGCAGTTTTTTTCCCTATTTGTACGATGGTGGTTTTTGTTTCTTATAATTTATTGATTTACTTTAGGGCCTCATTTTAATCCATTAAAGAAGGATCATGGAGCACCAAGTGATGGAGAGCGCCATGCTGGTGATTTGGGTAACATTATTGCAGGCCCTGATGGTATATGCAGTTTCTGTCATTTATATAACTATTCATTTGATAGATTGTTATTTGTGAATGACTGGTTTTTATGATAATAACACAATGTCTTCATAGCAGGGGTTGCTGAGATTTCGGTTAAAGATTGGCAGGTAGGGGAGGCTAATAACAGCTATGAGCTTGTAGTATTTTTTTTTTTTTTCCATTTCTTAGAAAATTAAAATGTTTCATTTTCTTTGTTTATTTGGTGGCATGTAACAGTGAATTGGTTTTGTTTCCTTGGAGCATTAGCTACTTATCAAGTTCTTTAATATCCATTGTCTTGGGCAATTTTGGCTTCATGGAGTGATGAATTATGCTTAGCCATAATAATTTTTCTTCTCTTTGTTCAATTTGTAGATTCCACTTAGTGGGCAGCATTCCATATTAGGGAGAGCAGTTGTTGTGCATGCTGATCCTGATGATCTTGGCAGAGGTGAAATGTTTAGTTTTTACAAATTGCAAGAGCTTGCATGTACCATTAAACTGCAATGTTTATTGCTAAAAAGAAGGATATATTTCTTTGTGTAACTTGTATAAAATTTAGTCTTAGACCTTGAGTAATTGGGTATGGTGGAGAAATGCAACTCGGCAATCTTCTGCTGTTGGATCTGGTCAATCTAAGTCAGGATTTGATATGAAATTTGTAAGACATTTCGGAACAGGTGTATTGTTACTACTAGGTACTAGGGATTGTAAATTGGAAAAAGAAAATAGAATGATGTATTGTTACTACTAGGTACTAGGTCTGACTTAATTGTTTGCCGTTCATTAGTTATCTCTTGGTCTGACGATTTTGTGATTTTTTCAATCATATTCTGCTCATGACTCTAGTCACTCACCCAAAAAATCACCTTTTCTTTTTGTGATTTACTTTTGCTAATTACAATAACCAATATGCAGGTGGACATGAACTTAGCAAGACAACAGGGAATGCAGGTGCAAGAGTTGGATGTGGTAAATATTTAGTTTATGGGTAGATTGTTTTGGCCATCAGTTTGTCAACTAGTTTAATTTTGCCAAAATATGTTTATCTTGTAATACTGAAATCAACTTAGTTGGGTAGGTTTGAAATGTAGCTGTGGTATATAATGATTCACAAGCTTGTCATCGTTGCTTCTTTCTTCATCTTTGTAGATGCTGCATGCATGTGGAACTCACTGACATATGATTCATTGACTTTGAGCAGGTATCATTGGGCTTCAATCAGCCGTTTAGAAGCAGTTTGGTTGCATGTTAAAAGATATTTGTTCAAAAACTGCAAATTATAATCTTCTGGTTGAATTTTTGTATCTCTCAATAATCCGCTTGAAAACTAATTTTAGGATGTAGATTGAAAGGCCATCTGTAATGTCTATGATATGTAAACAATTTTCATACTAAATCCTATTTCCTTAAATTTTACTTAAATATCTTCCTTATAAGAAGTCAGCTCTCTTAGTACATGCCTAGTGTTTGAGTCTCGGACCATGACACTAGTACATGGCTATTGTACAAGCTAGGAGAGCAAAAGTAAGAGACTGGTATGTTACAGAGGTAGGCATTTTGCCGCTATCCTTCCGAAAGAACATCCCTTGGTATATAGGCAGGTTTAAGAAAACCAAAAGGCAGCAAAGAAGGATCTGCAAACCAAATCGGTCGAAAACCGTTATATGAACATCATCCAAGGCAACGTTCTTTATTCCCCCAACAAAGCTGAACAGATTAAGGAGAGCAAGAGCTGCTAAAATTGAGAACATCGGTGAAGTTGTCCCAAACTCCATGATCTCTTGCTCATATCTCTGATTTACATGGTCATCTGCTACCTTTCCGGTGATGGCAAAGGCTGACCTTGAAAATCCGCATAGCTTCAGGATATCGTCTATGAAGGCAAAGAAGTAGGAAGTTGTTCTCCTGAACATCCACGTCCTTTGTTCATTCAACCAACCTCGGAATGTGCCTCCAAACCATACAAATTCCCCAAGGCCATATGAGCTGTTGACAAAGATGGCATACAGAAATGGTATACCCCAAGAGCTTGACATCTAGTGATTCCAAAAAGATTAAGTTGTTATTATTTCTTTTTGCATTCTATAAACATGAACAAAATGGAAACTCTTAAAGAGCTCTTTTAGGTGAAAAGATGCCATACCTTTGGAAACAAGGAGATGCCTTTAAGCAGGCAAAAAGATGGCATTATAACGTAGTACAACGTAGCGAAGCAGTTTGGAGCCCACAGTAAGTAAATACAGTATGAAAGCTGAAGTTTTATGGGCATCTTTCCACGTCCATACACGAAAGGACAGTGTTTAGATAGAAAGATTTGAAAGTCACCTTCAGACCATCTCTTATGTTGTATTAGGGATTGTAATAGTGTTGTTGGAACAACTCCTAAGAAGGCTTTCCTTTCAGGATTGGAGTACACCGATCGCCAACCTCCTGTATGTATGGATAATCCCGTGAGTATATCCTCCACTGGACAGTCGTATCTCAATCCAATCTGCAATAAACCTCTATTATGTTATAAAACTTGACATTCTTTTGATGGAAATGATTCATATATGTATAACTTAGATAACGTTTTTCCTAATTATGTTTTTCTTTCAAGTTTTTAACGAATGTCCATTTGGTATAAGAGACGGTGTGATGGGAGGGCTTTTCACCGCACTGCCTCCAAAATTGGATCCACCGCATCATTGTACCAAACAGATTTTTACACTCCATTTGAGTTACATAACAATGTGTTATTTTATAGCTAAGAAACCAAGCCATAGGCAGAGTGAGAGAGAAAAAGAAAGTACCTCTTTTCCCCATTGTGTGCCCTCCTCATAGGTACAACTTGCAAGAACTTTGCAATTTTCTTCAAGAACACTTGCACTTTCTTTATTCTTTCTATCATTTTTCATTGTCCTCCATGCAACTTTAACTTCCTCGCTATACTTCATTCCGCAAAGAGTTTCTCTTCTATTAACACATCCAGTTCCAATATAGCAAGGCCCTCCATTCCCATCAAATCCTGCAAGCTCAAGCTTCATATATAGATATTCGAAACACCAATTCTCTCACTGTGTTAGCCAACTTCAATTGTGATTGAAATATTAACTTGAAATTTTCTTTTGTTATTTGATGCTTACCCCCATTACAACTCTCAAGGAGCTGCCATAAATATCATTTTTAGTGAGGTTACCAAAGCTCTGAGGATATTGCACAAAAGCAATTTCATGTCCCTTCTCTTCATCTAGAAGAAAGCAAAGAGCATCTCTGATTGCCTCTGAATTATTTGAATACATGTCGCAGTCCACGTTCAGGATAAATGGCGCATTGGTTATGCTCGATGACACCCTTATCTGTTCATCCATATCCAGAATAATAAAATAGTAACTTACTTCACGTACCAATTGCACCTATTTTACTTCAACATATAGAACACAAAGCTCACCAGTGCATTCAAGGCTCCAGCTTTGAAGTGATGGTGGTATTTAGGTCTTTTTTCACGTGATAAATATACAAGGGTTGGCAAAGGTTTTCCTTCCATATCCATGGTGTTGGGGTCTCTTCCATCAATTAAGATCTATCAGTTTATGCAAATTTACAACTAATTAAGCTAAGAGGTATTAATTATAAGTTGCAGAAAGGACAATGCTATATACATTAAACATACACATATGTACACATAATTGTTTTGTAATGATATTTTTGAAAAATAAAGAAATAAAATGACTTTTTATTAGCTTAGAAAAGTTTATATGAAAAAAAAATCAATTATCTGTATTATATGTATATATTTTTAAGTGTATATAATCTTTTTCTTGCGAAAAAACTTGAAGGCTAAAGTGTTGATCCGATCAAAACGAGAATAAATGCAGCAATTAATTACTTGAAGAATGGCTTGATGATCATATCGACTTGAAACAAAATCCCATTCCCCAAATCCCTTATGCTCCTTGCGTATGTCAGCTGGAATTTTGCCCAATTTTGTGATGGTTTCAATCCGCATCTTCATGTCTTCATATGATTTCTATAATTCATACCAAAAAAAAGTTATATTTTTGGGCATAAAAGAAAATTTTAAGAGTTTTTATTTAACGTATTGTCAGTGTATAGATTTTATATACTATTATTGAATTAGATGATGCGATTTCATTAATAAATGAAAATCAACCCTTAAAATAAATATATAAAATTTTAATTTTAAAAAATTATTTTTTAATAAGATGATATTATTTAATTCACTTCATTAATGAGAAAATATGATTTAATTTATTGATAATGTATAAAATTTATATACTGATAGTGTATCAAATATAAATCAAACATAAGACTACATAAATATGTTATATATGCAGTATATCCACCTAATAAAAACAAGAAAATGGGGATCTTATTTCTTTGCTTTTATGTCTATTTGACCGAGAAAATTGTAGATATTGATTATTGTAGCCCTGTTAAGAGATATTATATGCAACAATCTAATTTTGATTTATTATTTAAGTTTATATTTAATGTATTGTTAGTATATAAATTTCATATATGGTTAGTAATAGAAATTAGATTATGCCACTTTATTTATAATTAAACAAATTTTGCAAACTCTTAAAATAAATAAACAAAAATTTATTTTTTTAAAAAATTTCTGATAACATTATATAATTTACCAATAGTGTATAAACTATTCTATATATTAATAGTACATCAAATATAAATTTTTATTATTTTTAATTTTTGGATCAAATTAAATTTATCAATTTAATTCAATATCTTTATGTAGGATGCTGAATTTAATGATAAAAAATGTTGTATTGATGCCAAAGTCAGAACTGTAAAATAGGTGCAACCAATATAATATTGATGACTGAAAAATGAGTTGTTACTTCCAATATTTCTGGAACTCCAATACCGTTAAAAATTTTGCGTGCTGGTCCTCTTCCTTGACCATAAAATCAATTTCAGTTTATATTTGCGTCCTGGTCTTTGTTTCACTTGGAAAGGACCCAAAATTAAAGTTGATTCAGACATAGGATAAAGGTGGCTCCCTTGTCAAAAATAGCAGAAAACTGTGACCCGTGACATTTTAAGTGGTATCATCGAGCTCTCACCGATTAAGCAATGAATGGTGGGAAAGAAAATTGGAGTGATTTATATATAAAAAATAACGTAGGCAATTTAAAAAAAGAAATAGAAATGATCACGACTTGATTTGGTTTGACTCTTCTAAGCAAGGACTAGAGATTAAATGGTAAATCAGAGGCATTATTGTCATTGTTGATAATAATTTTGTCATTCATGAAATCAGCAAACACTGATGCTTAAAGTGACTGATTCAGCAATAATGTTCAATCAGACAATGAAAAGCCGTGTCGAATGGGTGGTTACTCTAGTTGTTAAGCAGTGATCCTGATTTGTCTTTTTCTGCAACTTGAGGAACACCCAATGAGCTACCCCACTCATTTTGATTTTTGCTTGAGACTTGAATTTGTTTTAGATTTTTTATTTTCAGTGCCATGTTGATTATCATATGGTTCTGAAAGTAAAACAAACTTATTACCTTGATGGACAGCCACTCTTTGGCCATGACAGAATCATCAACTGGTTCAGCAATGTTCCTGAAATAAGCCTCAGGCGATCTTGGCTCAACTTTGAGCTTCCTGCAAAATGGTAACCATACCTGGGAAAAGCGTGCAGCTTCTAACAGAGCATAGACTGTTAAATCTGAGCCACCATCATCAGATAGATAAACACTTAGCTTCTCAGGTGGGTAGTCATAAGCCATAACTGATAAGACTGTGTTGATCACCATTGTTGGTGGCTCTAACAAGGGGTCTGCCGTGCAAACAAAAATGTCTACTCCTGGCAAAGCTTCTTCATCATACCTGTTATAAGAAAATTCAAAATTCTCTGCATTAATTTCTTCAATAGTTAATCCATAAAAAAGAAAAAAGGAAACATGAGAGAGGGAAATCAATTAAGAGAGACCTGGCTGAGAGCCTATTCTTGAATGTGTAACGAAAGACAGGATTCCATCTAACGACCACAGTGACAAAAAAGTAAAAGCCAAACCAAAGTTCAGCAAGAAACATTCCAATCCATACCCATCTCTCAGTCTTTCCTTGCAGTGATGGAAAATAGCTCACTCGGTAAAAACAAATGAAGCAGATGTCAACAAAAATTGAAGCTGCATACAATCGAAACAGGAGCAGTCCCCTGGCTTGCCTTGTTTCAAAAAGAGGAAGATACCCATTACTTTTCATTTCTCCTGTCACTTTCCCCACTACTTCGCTTAAATTAAGTGAAACTTGACTCGCATTTATTCTCGTATATATACCTGCATACATAAAATGATGACATCCTTTTCCTGCTCAATTTACATCATTGCTTAAGTTTTTTTGTCCAGGTTGCCTGGTTGAACTATTGACCATAAAAGTATGCAGCCAGCAATGACGGTACCAAAAAATGGCACGCAACAATGAACGGATCGCAATTAATTATGGAATATTGTCTTCTAAACAAAAAAAAAAAAAATTATGTTATGAAATATTGTCTTAAAATTAATTTATTAGATATAATACATAAAATTATCATTAATTTTTTTTAATTAAATGCGATTGTCTGAGTTGCCTTGTTTCAAAAAGAGGAAGATACCCATTACTTCCCATTTCTCCTACTCTCCTCATCACTACTTTGCTTAAGGTTACATTTGGACAGAGTTTAATTTTGATGAGATTAAAAATAATAATAATAATAATGAAATTAATTATTATAATAATAAAATTAAAATTAATGATAAAAATATATATTTGAATATAAATACATTGATAATAATGAAATGAATTTTAATAAAATAAAAAATAATCATTAAAGATATTAATTTAAAGATTATATATAATAAAAATTTTAAATTATTGATAAAATTAATAAATAATTAAAAATTAATAAAAATAATAATATATCAAATAATATTCTTTATTATTAAATTAAAATTATTTCAAAATTTTAAATAAAAATTAAAAGAGAAAAGAAAATAATTAAATTATAGGAGCGATTTTGTATTTACAATAGAAACTAAAGGATAAAAAGGGAAAAAGAAAAACGAATGAAAGCCTAGTTGGCCACTGGACCAAAATTGGCCAATGAAAAACTGGTATCAATCGTGCCGTGACGATGAAAACCAAATGAAAAGTTTTACACTGTACAGTGAGTTGGCACCAACTCCAATTATAATCGGGGGTCAGACGAAATCCAAATGGACCCCTAATTGAGTGAAACTTGGCCCGCGTTTATTCCCATAAATAGGTGCGTTCAAAAAATGACGACATCGTTTGCGTGTTCAATTTTCATTATTGTTCAAGTTTTTTTTCCAGGTTGACTGGCTGAAACATTGACCATAAAACGTATGCAGCCAGCAATAATTGTATCAAAAAATTGGTACGCAACAATGCGGTCAGAAAATTCTACCAAATCTGAACATGTAAATTATTTTCACTTGTGCTACGGTGCTGCCGTCGCTACAGTGCTGCCGCCACTACAGTATAGCCGCATGTTACAGTAGCGTCGAAATTTTGGAAAGACATAATATCTAGATTCTGAAAAATAATTCGTTGCAGTAACTTATGACATGTGCGCCGTATGCTATAATATTGTCGCCGTTACAGTAATAATAAAATGCTACGATGAAATATGAAAAATTTTGTTCATAAATAGATTGAACGTGCAAAAGCTGAAGTGTGTCTGGTAAATGGCTTAAAGAGCTTGGTGAGAGCACCAAAGAAGTGTTAAAAGAGATGTACCATGTAGTTTAAGGGTGGGGTGACCGAAAGTTATGCCTGAGTATCCAAGGGTGATGATGGAGGTGTCCAAGGATGGTGCCAAGAGTGGTGTATTTTAGGGTTTGTTTAACCTATCTTAGTGGGAAACACTTGCATAATCCGGTGCATTGAGTTAGTGTAGTCACTATAATCTCAACTTTTTTACAGTGATTTTTTTTTTTTGGTAGCACTCGTGGATGCACGCATAAGTCCCAACCACTTAATTGTTAGTACTTTTTATGTTCTTTGTTGTCGTTTAATATTTCTGTAAAGGTCGATTCAAATGAGGAAGAATCTATCACGATTCATATATATAATACTATTCACATATATATAAAAGAATCGTTAATTTTTTTCACAATAAATAGTCTCATGCTGTGCGGATTCCTGACAAAATGAGATTTAGAGGATGACCTAATTTTTACAAGAATGAATGGTGAAAATTAATTATGGAATATTATCTTATAAATTAAAAAAAAATTATGTTATGAAATATCATTTGCTTAATTATATGATTTTTTTTAATTTTGATTTTAAAAAATTAATTTTGAAAATGAAATTAAACACCATTGTATTATGAAATTCATTTGAAAATAAGTTCAATATATAATTTCTATCAGTACCAGTCCTGAATAGAAATGGGGATAATATAGAGTACTAGTAATAAAATCATGAAATCAAATTGATAATTTCTCGATCTCAAATATAACACCATGCGGGATTAAGAGATGAATCCCATAAAATTTGCTACTATAAAACATTCTTAACACACAGCGTTTCTTCCATTTTTTTTTTTTCGATTTCAAATTTCGTTCTTTTTGATACTCGAAATTACTGGGATTTGAACACTACAACAGATTTGACAATTACATACATAAAATCTTTTGGGTTTTTTAAACTTGCCTACATGGTTATAAGAAAGCTGTTTAGCAAGTGAGATAACAGTAACTTAGTACACGGCTACCGTGCAGGTTAAGAGAGCGTAAATAATTGACAGGTATGTGACAGATGCAGGCATTTTACCACTGTCCTTCCGAAAGAAGAGCCCTTGGTATATAGGTAAGTTTAAGAAGACCAAAAGACTGCAAAGAAGTATTTGTAAACCAAATTGGTCCAAAGCCTTTGTTTGAACATCATCCACAACCTTCTTTATTCCCCCAATGCAACTGAAGAGGTTGAGCAGTGCAAGTGTTGCTAAAATCGTTAACATTATTGATGGAGTGCCAAACTCCATGACTTCTTGCTCATATCTCTGAGATATCTGCTCATCAGCCACCTTTTCAGTGATGACAAACGCTGTCTCTGAAAATCCAAACAGCCTCATAATAGTGTCCAAGAAAGCGAAGACGTAGCAAGTTGTTCTTTTGAACATCCACATCCTTTGATCATTCAACCAACCTTGTATTGTGCCTCCACACCATATAAATTCTCCCAGGCTGTATGCACAGTTGGCAACCATGACATATGCAATTGATAGGATTCAATGGCATGTCATCTGGCGGTTCAAAATGATTTCATTGTTAGTAACTTACTTGTCACAATGAGATTTTTCTAAGGTACCATAAATTAATGATCAGGATGAGTCATTAAGCTTTTATGAGATAGATTTTATGGTCCAGATTCTTTATAGTACCATATATTCTCATGGCATTACTGACAAGCTTTGTACTCATAATTCTGCATGTTAAAAACCGATAAGAAATCCGAAAGTTGTCTTCTAGAAGAAAATTACCTTTGGAAACACAGGTATGCCTTTAAGTAGGCAAAGGGATGGCACTGTAACATAGCATAATGTAGCAAACCAGTTTACAGCCCACAGCAAGTAGGGACAGTATGAAAGCTGGAGTTTTAGAGGGACCCTCTTACGTCCATAGATAAGAGGACAATATTTTGAGAGAAAAATCTGCAAGTCACCTTCAGCCCACCTCTTATGCTGTATTAGGTATTGCAACAGTGTCGTCGGAGCAACTCCTTGAAATGCCTTCCTTATGGGATTAAAGTAGATGGATTGCCAACCTCTGCAATGTATGGCTAATCCTGTGATTATATCTTCTAATGGACAGCCATATTTCAACCCAATCTGCAATTAGGAAATGATACGATTATTTTTTCTTTTGCAGGAAAAAGAATCATACCATACAGAGAGATAGAGATAAAGACCTCATTTCCCCAGTCTGTATTCTGTTCATATGTGCAGCTTGCAAGGACTTTGCATCTTTCTTCCAAGACACTTGCACTTTCTTCAACCTTTTTGTTCACTCCCCTCCATTCTTCCTTAAATTCTTTGCTATACTTCTTTCCACAAAGACTCTCTCTTCTGTGAAAGCATCCAGTACCAATATAGCTAGGCCCTCCATTTGCATCAAATCCTGGAAGCTCGAGCTTGATTATCACCGTGTACATAATGTTAATTAGAAGTAGATCAAAATATCCTCTTACTGTTACAGCTTTGCAACTGGTAATCAAATTTACAAACTTCTTTTGGTTATTTGACGCTCACCTCCACTATAACTCTTAGGGAACTGCTATAGAGATCATTCTTAGAAAGGTTGTAAAAGCTCTGTGGATACTGAACAAAAGCAATTTCATGTCCCTTCTCTTCATCCATAAAAAAGCACATAGCATCTTTGATAGCCTCTGAGTTATTTGAATACATGTCGCAATCCACATTAAGGATAATTGGCGCATTACTTGTCCTTGATGACACCCTTATCTATCAATCCATCATGAAGGATGATAAGTCATAAGTGATAAAGTCAATAAACAATTCTTAATCTAGTAGTAGTAGTATTCTGCCAGAGCAGAGTAAAATATAGCCTACCAGTGCATTCATGGCTCCCGCTTTGAAATTATGGTGGTACTGAGGTCTCTTTTCTCTTGCCAAATATACAAGAGTAGGCAAAGTTTTTCCTTCGATGTCCAAGGCATCAGCATTTCTTCCATCAATTAGGATCTAAGTACCAGGAAAGAAAAATGAAAAACATGAGTGGAAAATTTGTATGCTCTCTGTCATGGAAGTGACGATTCTATGAAAAAGAACAAATGTAGCAATTACTTGAAGAATGGTTTGATGATCATGACGACTTGCAACAATATTCCATTCATGAAATCCCTTGTGCTTCTTTCGTATGTCAGCTGGAATTCTACCCAACTTTGTGATGGTTTCAATTCCTATCTTCAAGTCTTCAAATGATTTCTATTAATTGATAAAGATAGTTTTACTTATATCAGCATGTGAAAGTTCATTTAAATTAGCCAAACATTACAGTATTGAAAAGTAAAAGGGGAAAAAAAATGGGAACTGAAGAAAGCAGGTGACTATAGAGAACTTACCTTGATGGACAACCAATCTTTGGCCATGAGAGAATCATCAGCTGGTTCAGCAGTGTTCCTGAAATAAGCCTCGGGCGATCTAGGCTCTACTTTGAGCTTCCTGCAGAACGGCAGCCATATCTTGGAGAAACGTGCAGCCTCCAACAAAGCATAGAACGTTAAATCTGAGCAACCATCATCAGAGAGGTAAACACTTAGCTTCTCAGGTGGGTAGTCGTAAGCCATAACTGATAAGACTGTGTTTATCGCCATAATTGGTGGCTCTATTCCAGGATCAGCTGTGCAAACAAAAATGTCTACACCAGGCAAAGCTTCCTGATTGTACCTGTTGTAGAAATATTCTTTGCATTATTGATTTATACTTAAATTGGATAAGCTAAAGCGAAAGAGGGATTTGACTTGAAAGAGACCAGGAAAAGAGCCTGTCTTTGAAAGTGTAACGAAAGACAGGGTTCCATCTGCGGACAAGAGTGAGTAACCAGTAAAAGCTAAACCAAAGTTCAGCAAGAAACAATCCAATCCAACCCCATCTCTCAGCTTTTGCTTCCACAGAAGGAAAGTAACTTACTCTATAAACCCAAATGAAGCATATGCCTATGAAGATTGAAGCTGAAAACAATTTAAACAGTAGGTGTCCTGTTGCTGGCCTCGTTTCAAAGAGGGGGGCATATCCTTTACTTCCCACTTCTCCCTCGTTCATGATGAAATCCTAACGGGGAAATTAAACCCATAAAACGTTGACAACCCAAAATCTCCCCGAGCTATCATATACAACCCCATTAATACCCAAAAGATAACGTCATTCACTGAATATCCAAAACAGCAGAGAGGTGGACTCCGAGATATGACTCTGTAAACTAGCAAAAAGTCAAATTATGCTTAAAGTCCTTATGCTTTGTCAAAATTTAGAATTTAATCTGTGCATTATATTATATATAAATTTAATCCTTATACTATTTGAATTTAATAATTTTAATCTAATTACTAGCTTTATCAATTTTTTGATATAAAAAATACTGACATGGCCATTGGCTTACAAACATAGATATTGATTTTGTTGATGTAACATAGTCTTATTAGTATGATATTGATTTATTGACGTAGTAATTAAAATGAATAAAATCAGTTATTAAATTATATAAATAATTTTAATATTTATACGAAATTTAAAATTTAATTTTATACTCGTATGATATTTGAAATTTAGTCCTTATCTTCTCATTAAATTAAAAATTTAATTCTTATAATATAAAAATATTTTAAAAATTTTCTAATTTTTTGAAATATTAAATTTTAAAAATTACCATAATATTCTACCACAATATTTTGTTACAATAATTTATCACAATATTCTACCATAATTTTCATATATTGTCATTAAATTTGTTACAATTTTTTGTCATCTATGTAAAATACTATTACTAATTTTATCACTATTTCTTGTTGTATTATGTCATAAAATATAAAATCTTTTATAGAGTTTATTATATTATTCTATAACAATTGTAGTATATTGTGTCAAATGGAAAAAATTTATATAAGTTTATTAAAAATCTATTACAAATTTATCAATATATGATACAAATATGTTACTATTTAATTTTAATAAAATTATTATTTTTTGTTAATTTATTAAATAAGTTAGAATTATAATTTCAGCACGTAAGAGTAAAATTATCCATCAAATAATATTTTTATTCTTTTAAACTAAACACTATTTAAAATTTTTTATAATTAAATTTAAGTATAAGATTCTAGATACAATAAAGTAATTTACTAAACTCAATATGTATTAATTTTAAAATTAATTTTATTATTTAATTTAATATAATTATTGAGATAAATTCTTTTTCGAAAACCAAAAATAATTGATAGTGAAATATTAAAAATAATTACAAAAGAAAAACAAAATGATGAGGGTATTTTTTGAAGAGAATGATTTGAAGAAGAAATGACTTTTTTAAAAGAAACCCATGGAATGTTTTGATAAATTAAAAATCATGACACAACTTTACATATAATACCCCAGCCCAAATGATAATTGGGCTAGACTATTACTAAAGCTCATTAAGTTAATGATGTTAAAGTGGTTGAGTGTTTTATTAGAGAAAAACTTAGTATCATGAAATAAAAAAAAATACGAGTTCTTCTTCCCAATATTTCTTAGGGTTAGAGAATGAAAAATCAAGTATAGGATCCAAAATTAGAGACTACAATTGAGTTAATCTTCTAAATGTGAGTATATGTTATCTTTTTATTTACGAGATGTATCATTAATTGGATTAAAGATATTGATTTTACTTAGTAGACTATATTAGTTTATTAAAGAATTTTAGAATGATTAAAAAGAAGGCTTTATATTACTTTAGGATTTTACTTCAAGGTAATATGATCGTATTGTGTCTTGATCTCGAAGTGTGATATATATAAAGTGATATAAGAGCTTAAGTTATGATCTTCAGAGAATTTTTAAGAGTTAGATTATGGTGGATTTTCTTTAAAAAGCCTAGGTTATTTTTCTTAGAGATTTTTTAAAAGTTTAAGTTATGATTTATAAACTATGTAAGATGTTAAAAAGCTTATATTATGATTTTGAGAATTTTTTAAAAACTACGAAATTATGATATTTAGAGATTTCTAAAAGGTTAAATTATGATAAATAGATTAACGGTGATTTTCAAATAATGTAGTTTATGATTCTTAGATTGAAAGAGATATTCTATGAGCATGGTTATGATCTATATATTATGTGAAGATTTTTAAAAATTTAGATGATGACTTTTGGATAATGTGATGATTTTTCAAAGACATAACTTTGATCTATAGACTATAGTGATGAGTATAAGTAAATGATTTGATAAATTTTGGAATAGTTAAAGTTTAAATGAATATTGAGGAATCAATGATTCAATGAATTCATGAAGTAATTATTTTGGTTGATAATTATATATTGCTTTTGAGATTTTGTAGTTAAGAGAAAGTCTAATTTCTTTGATAAAGTGCGTTTTTATAAGTTGAAGAGATTTTTAATGCAACTTATGATGAGACATATCTTAAGAACTAAAGGATTATTTAAGAAAACAATTTAATCATTGGAGATCTTATGGGTTAGAGAAAAAGGCATTTGATTTAACGAGATTTTGAAGTTAATTGTTGAGTGTTAAGTGAATATTTTAATCATGGATTAAGATTTGATTAAGGCTGTGCATTGTTGGAATTAAAAGTATAGAATATTGGAGTTGGAATGAAATGATATGTTAAAATTCTGAAGTAATTATTTATGGATTATAATGTTTGAGAATTTATCTTGATGGATTTAGTTCGAAATATGATAATTGTGGTAAATAGTTTAATGTACATAACGGAAGATATTCACTTGATTGGGTTTTAGGTTTTTTTTTATTGAGAAAGTATTTAAGGTTTGATCATTGAGTTGGACGTTTGTATAGTTAATTTAAAGTTTGAGTAATAAATTCTATTTGGGGTGTACTGATTTTTTTTAATGGCTAAAGTGGTTAACTTATGGTTATAGTTCTAATTAAAATATATTATTGGATTTTTTGAATTTTATATTTTGGAGAACATTGCCAATTGTGGTACAAGGCTATGTACTTAGCAAGGAATTAAATTTGTGAATAAAAATTAAAATTATGTTTGTTTAGATGATTTAGTAAGGAAGTTGGTTTTGAAAGAGTAAACAAATTATAGAAAAATATATATGTTTTGGTTAAGAATAGTTCTTTGAAATCTTATAAGTGCAAAAGATTATTTGAAATCTTACAAGTGCAAAAGATTGTTTGAAATCTTATAAGTGATGATTTTGTGCACTTGGTGATGTTTAGTATATACTTGATTTTAGAGAGATTTGAGAAAATTTCTGAAATAATGTGATGTTTTTAGTTATTGTTCACAACTATACTTCCAACATGAATTCAAGTATTTAGAGTTTTTATTATTTAAATTCTATAAGAGAATTTTACTTATGGATTATGATGCATAGGTTTTAACTTTAACTTGGAGATGATAGCAATATATTTGGTAAAAAAAAATTTGAGACATTATGATGTTTGTGGGAATTATGAAGAATCAATTATTATATGATAATTAGATATTTATGTTTGAACAATATTTGAAATTAGAGATAACTTTGATAACTAGATATTTATGTTTGAATTTACATAGTGTAAATTTATAGATATGATCTATTACTTTGATTTTATATGTATTTTAACGATTAATTGATAGAAAATTTCATATTGTCAGTAGAGAAGAAAAGAAAATTAAAGTACTATGTGATTTTTTTCTTAAGACTAAAGAATTTGTTGATATTGTGATTCAACTTTAATGTTATATATGGTTATGAATACCCAGCGTAAAGCAAATTACATGAAAATTTATGGACATATGTTTTTCTTGTTATGAAACAATGTTATGAAAGTTAATTTGTTAGAATTTTATTGGAAAGAAATATCAAAGTATGCAATGGAAGCCTAATTTGATTTAAGTTCTAAATTTTTTATGCTAATATTAATTGAGAAAGAGATGAATCTTTAGTAAATAAGGACTAATGGATTTTGGGAAAAATATTTTGTGTTCCCTTTATTTTTTTTTTTTATGCTTTATCAATGGTTGACATTCTTTTAAGAAGTGCTTGTGTCATCACTTGAAGAGAAATTTTTTATAATGATAATCATAAAACAAACATTCAATGATTTATTTTGAGGTTTTATGTGAAAGTAGATCTAAGTCCTAGACTTATTGGCATAAGAACAAAGAAGAAAAACTTTTATTTCTTGAATTTATAGAACAAATTACTGATAAATTTTGATTGATTAAAAAATGGTTTAAAGTAAGTAAGAATTAGGTTAGAATTCGAAGATAAGATTTATAGCTTCAAGTGGTTATTAATTTGTATTCAAATGTGTCGTTATTAAAAATATTATGAGGATTATAAAGTAAGTAAGGTTAAGTTTGCAATATGTAAGGATATTTGAAGTTCGTGGTAAAGTGAAAAAAGGTTCAATATAAAGAATAATGTCACATCTAATGTCTAGTGTACATGATGAATCTATGTTAAGAGAATATCTTGATAAAAGCTATATGGTTGGATATGAATATTTAAAAATTCAAGATGATATAAATTTTAATATATTGAAAATATCTTATTCGAAAGGTTAATTGGTAAGAATAAGTTTTAAGATGGAATTCTTACCTTTATAAAAGTTTAATGAAATAATTATATGACAAAAGAAATGATTTCAGAAATGGAGGAATAAGATATGGATATAAATCAAGTTTCTAAGACGAAACATTTTATAAAGAGGGGAGAATGTAATACCCCAGCCCAAATGATAATTAGGCTAGACTATAAGTCCATTAAGTTAACTACTAAAGAAAAAGTGACTGAGTGTTTTATCAAAGAAAAACCTAGTGTTGTGAAATAAAAAAGAAAATACAAGTTCTTTTTCCCCATCTTTCTTAAGGTTAGAGAGCATAAAAATCAAGTACAAAATCTAAATTGAAGACTACAATCGAATTAATATCCTAAAGGTGAGTATATGTCATTTTTTTTAATTTAAGAGATGTATCATTAGTTAGATTAAAAATATTGATTTTACTTAGCAGACTATATTAGTTTATTGAAAAATTTTAGAATGATTAAGAAAGAAGGTTTCATATTACTTTGGAGTTTTACTTCAAGGTAATATGACCATGTTGCATCTTGGTTTCGGGGCAAAAGAAAATGGAGAATAAGTAAACTACAGCTCAGCAAGTATAAGCTCATATACCTTACTGGATCAAACATCGTTTTTATACGTACAATATAAATCATTCCATCAAACATCCATCAACTCATAATGTCAAAAATAATTAAAAAATCAACATT